TATAGCTAGCTTCCTAGCAGTAACATTAGCAATCTGGCTACTATGTTAACTAGCAAATGAAAGAAATAAAAACAGTTCAAAACAGTCTACCCCCCAAAATCCACCCCACAGCAGTTTTAGTTTTTAATGTTCCTCCCTCATTCAAGATACATCATCAGATAGGGGATTTTCTTAATGTTTATAACTTTAGAGTCTACTAAAGAATGTGGATAAGCATGTTCATAACAGATGCAGCAATTATTTTTTTTTATTTCAGCTAGAGTATACCTTTAAATGGTTCTTGGCTTGGACGTTCATTTCTATGAAAAAGCTTTAACTGGTATAGAACTCTTACATCATGTAGAGGTTAAAAAAAGATGCTTCACACACCTCATTAAAGAACCCAGTTCTTTAAAGAATCATGGTTCTTCAGAGAACTAGAAGTGGTTCTTCTATAGCAAAGGACCCTTTTCAGCACCCACATTTTTAAGAGCATATTCAGAGAAAGCCAGTAAATCCATTTTGGTATTTTGATTACACTTCCACAGACTCCATGGGCCCATACTGTCTTCACAGGCCTTTGCTCCCTGTAGCAACCATGCATTGTTAACCTTTCCCTATGCATTACAGAGATGCCTCCTTAACAACACGTCCAGGTATGTCTTCACATTGCAGTCTTTCAAAACTGCCAAACATAAGCACAAAGTGCAATATGAAAGAGACCTTCAAATTCAGCCCTGTCTCTGCAGAGTGGATTAATTGTAAGCCATGCATTAGTGGTGGAGTCTAACGCTTGGCTCTCAGGAGCAAAGTGAAAGAGTTAAATCCTGCAATCCTCTTGCCCCATTAATCCTGCAGAAAGCCCGGTGAACAGACAAACGCTCCTTCCGACTCTGACAGGGCAGGTAGCCGTTGCTGGGGTAACGGCTGATAAGAGAGTGATGGCAAACACCTCGGGGAGCGCGTGGGGTGCTTTGAGTTGACACGGAGAAGGGCCAGCTACATTCATCTCCAGGAATGGATTGTCATTAGAAAGCGGAGTGACAGGCTCCGCGCCGGGCTGGGGCGGAGAGGAAGGATGCCAGGCCTGACAGATGTTCACGGTGAAGAGAAATTCTGAGTGCACTCATAATCCAGAGAGGGGCCTGCGATGTTCATTCAAAATATTGTGCGCTACAATGCACTGGGACTATGCTGGGGTGGAGCCAAGGTATTGGAGGATGTCTTAGATGTGGTGTTGAAATGAACACACTTTATTTATTTATGTTTATACTGGCAGTGCCGTTCATTGCCAAGTCAACAAAAGTGCCTTTAGTGGTTACTGGAAGCCATTTTCTAACCACTACTGTTCTCAAACCTTTTTCATGTAGCAATACTTTACCCAGCAATGCTTTGCAGATTGTTTATGAATGCATGAGGTTATCTGTGTCTACACAGGAACTGAGATGGATTGGAAATCTGTAGACCTGTGCTCCAAGTCCTCTTAGCCTGAGGAAGCCAGTCCTCTGCTGCCATCAAGTGTACTGCCTTGAAATGTGAGGCCTTCACAAAATACAAGCATATTTTGGCTTTGTGTCTCAGAGAATCTCAGAGACTTTGTTTATATCTTAACAATTTAATTATGCAGACAATTTAGACAAATTGGTCAAATTCCCCTATAAGCACCAACAATCATTGTGACTTCAAGATCAAAACCTTGTAACTCAAATAAATAGAGCTATAACTAGTACCTAGAATATTTTCTCTTCTACCTAATTTGAAAAGAGCAGCTGCCTTGTGTGAAAATGTCATGGTCAATCCAAAATGATTACACTGAGAAATTTTTTTCCTTCTACTGAAAAGTTAAAATTTTCGAGACACAAGGCTTTGCTCTGACTGTGGCAATATGTAATAGGGCGTAAGGCTCATTTTCTAAAACAGACGAATGGCAGGTCATCTTTTCCTATACATATTGTCAAATTGGAATAGATCAATAGAGTTAGGCAGAAAATATAGAAGAATTCATGAAAAATTCACTAATTCATTTAATTGAAGTTACAAAATTCTCAACATTATTTTGGCTCTTAATGCCTGCTTAAGTCCACTGCTGCTCCCACAATCCCACTGCAGTCTCATGAACTACGCAAATAATTCACCATATCTCAATGTTATCATTTTGCAAATTTAACTATAAAGTGGGTCACTATGTGAGCCTTCAGTTAAAGGCATGTATGGAACTCACAACGAAATGCATGCACAAGTGCAACACCAATGCTACGCTTATCACTTGTGAACATGTTCACTACTGAGGAGACTATTCAGTTCCATCATCTCTCAAAAGAGTTTGGTTGAAACTGAGATGAATAAGTAGTTTATCACATTGATTTATCAGTCTACTCAGGCTTTAGCCAGAACTTCAGCGTTTATAGAGAAGTCATTTATACAGTGTTTATAAAAAAAAGTCCCTCTTTAGAGTAAGTCTTTACACATCTTGCGCTGATTTTAAAATAGTGTATAAACAAGCATTGATGGTGTTTCTTTTAAGGATATTCACAGATATTCAAATTTTATGGGTAAGTATTCTAAAAGTATTCTTCTAAAAATGTAGAAGGTAACTGTATTTTGAATACTGCCTTTAAAAATGTAACTTGGATGGAATACATATACTTAATTTCCATATTCTGAATAGATCCTTTGAATACTTGTATTCTGTTACATTCAAACCCTGTAAATAAATACTATCAGTTGTCCTCATGGCCTACTGCTATCAACAATATACCTCTCCATGTGCATAGTTACAATGACTCACTAAAAGATAGGTTTTCAGACAATGCAGACGGTAAACAATGTTTTTATCACTGTAGTCATTAAATACAAGGTGAAACTGCAGCTCTAGTGGGTACAAGATCAGGTACAATAATTTTGGAATGATTTCTTATTTACTTTGTTGTTGTAAAAGTGGTACCTAAGAAGAGATTGAGACATTGTGCTGTTCTTCTTTGTATGCTGACTTGTTTACAGCTTGTTTCAGCTTACAGATGGGGGAGATCTCAGAATTGACCAAAAAACACTGCCCACTACTAAAAATCTAGCTTATGTGCAAGCACAATACAGACTAACCAACCGTTTCAAACTATTTTGCCTCTTTCCTTTAAACACTGCATGATTTTACGCACTGCACTGCTGCCACATGACTGGCTAATTAGATAATTGCATGAACGAGTAGGTGTACAGGTGTTCCTAATAAAGTGCGGCCATATTGTTGACATTCCGTCAGCATAATGTGTATGAGCAGTCAATGCCAGCTATGGCTTCTATATCAAGATATCAAAAAAAAGTCAGTTTGATCAGACATGCGGATATGTGCTAAATCAAAAAGTTATCTTTGACTTCTGATTATTGTTTGCAATAACATTCCAGACATCTATAATTACCATGTAAATACTGCATCAGCCTACAGACTGCAGCATTTATTCTGTAGAATAAATTAGATCTGTAGAATAATTATATCTGTAGAAGGGTCATAGGGTGATATTTTGTCTTGTACCATCTATTGCACCATCAAACGTTGTTGTGGTTGCAAAAGTGAATAATAGCGACATATACAAGTTTGATGGGGTTAATCAGTGTTGACTTAACATTAACTTAGGTGAGCCTGGCTAGCATTTTGCCATTAATTGCATTCTTTATCTAGCTAAAGCATAAAGGCGCTAGACATAAATAGTTAGACTGCACACATTAGTTATCAATCAATGTCAACTGTCAATACTGAACTGTTCTCAACCCAAAGGCAAAACTACATAAGTCATCCTCCAGGAGAGCAGACTTTAGCCCTATTCGAGCTGGATTTGTGTTAGCAGAGGAGGTCCAGTAATATAATTTTTGTGTAATTTGACTGGCTGATTTGTGTGGGATAAAGGATCTATGTAATTTACCCAAAATTACCCAGATCAAAACATCATCATGTGGACTTTACCTCAGCATTATGCGACAGGCGCCACACTACTGAACAGTAACAAAGCATTGTGTGGCTAAATGTTAAATATGCCAAAAAAAAACGCAAAAAACAACAAAACGCGACACTGGACGATGGAGGAAACTTTACATCTCATTTTTGTGAGAGGTGATGCCTGTTATCAACGGCAAATCCAAATTATGGTGTATAATCATAATTTAGGAAATATACCCTAAATTGTTGTGGATTTCAGAAGTCTTGAACTGGAGGATTGAGGAATCAAGCTCCTTTTGAGCAGTAGCCTTGTTTCAGATTGCAAAAAAAGGAAAAAATAAAAAATGGAGGTGCCAATCTCTTTCACTCAAATTACAGCACCTCCTAGGTAAAACTAATCCAGCTCGAATACGGCCTTAGATGTAGGGAGATAGCTCTAAGTTTTTCCTGTTTATTCTCGTGATCCAAAGATTTCTTCTTCTTCTGGCTCAGCTCTTCAGCTGCTTTCATCTCATGACATTGGTCAGCCAAGACGCTATAACTATAAAAACTGTTTTTGTTTTTGTTGCTATTCTCACTACAACCATGAACCATGTGATGCAGCATGGTTGTATTTCATCTGTCAGGATGCTTTCAACAATTCAACAACTCAGCAGGTGTGACATCAGTCAAATACTTTCTGTACCAGCACTGCTTAAAAAATATATCGTATTCCGTGCTGGTCTAAGCTGGTGTTTGCCAGTCTAGTGCTGGATGACCAGCACACCAGCATTTGAAGCACAACAAATGCTGGTCTTGCTGGTGACCAGACATGCTGGTTTGTGCTGTTTTTTCTAGCAGGAACAGTAAAAATGTTACCTATTGTATCTTTAATGCAGCAAAAGAAACAACGTGTATATTTGACCTATTTTGGTTAACGTCCTATCAAGTTGTCTTGCGGTACAATTACCAGGCCCCGGTGTATACAAACGTGTCAGAACTGCTGAAATAATACAAAAAAGGAGAAAATTTTGTCGTTTTTCACGTGATTTTTTTCTTCTCAAGCGGAGTGCAGAGCGACCAGCTTGTTTGGCGCATGCGCACTCCCTCCTCCTCCCGCCCGGTCTGCGCTGCCTGCGCCGCCTGCGCCCAACAACTTAGTCCCTCATTAAGCCCCCCCAAATACAGCCAGTGTTACAAATAGTCCCTTTTCCACATGAGGCATGGCGGGTATATTCGGAAAGATTTTAATCGGCATTTACGTGGAAATCAAGCGAAGCGACGGTAAGTGTCAGCGCTGAGTGCAGCAGTGAGGATGCGGCTCGGAGCTCCAGCAGCTTTGTTGCCCGGTAACTGCGGCCTCAGTGGATGGGCTTAGCACGCTAGCTAGCTAAATTTAGCAAATAAAACGACACGCTGGCGTTAATGCGAGCGAAGTGACCTACAAGATACGAAACTAAACCTTAATTATAGCTCGCATCCCCATGTGCTTTGCTTTGCGCATGTCTTAATGCACTTGCCGGCCAACCTGTCTTTGCTGCATCGTGCTAGTCCGTTAGCATAGTCCCCGAAAACGCCCATCGTCTGAAACAAATGGCTTAATAACTGTCTAACGGGCGGATAGCAATAAGGACAAGAATGCGTTTTAAAGGTGTTAATTAACTTAATGGTTATAGTTTTAGTGAAAGCTAACGTGTTGTGTCTGTGTTGCCTCCAGTGTCCGCCCTTGAATGAGCTGACTGGTGTGCCAGTATGGGACGAAGCTTAAGTCAGCTTCTTATACGCCAGCATCTTGTTCGAATTTTCACGTTCCACCTTAAATAGTGCAGCAGAATGTAACTGCTGCACTATTTAAGGTGGAACGGGAAAATTCGAACAAGAAGCTGGCGAAAAGGAAGCCAACCTTAGCATCGTCAGTATGGGTGATGCAGCTCGTAGCAGATGCAGGAATGGACATGTGCAACACAGAACAGCCTGTGCGGTCAAGCGTCTAAATAATAGTTGTTTTTGTTTGTAAACTGCACAAAATATAGTCTGTGCAGCATCGATGGCTAGCAGATAATGAACATTTTTACTGGTTCACTAGTATGGGCGTCATTTACTCAACATATTGTAAGACATACTGAGAAAAAAGTTTTTCTTTTGGAAAACCTTTGACCAAGGTTATAAGTTACTCCTTATATGAGATGTTTTCTCCTTTTTAGCCTGGACATGTCCAACTTCCAGTAGAGAAATTTACCGGTTTATGCTTGTATACTTTATCAGTATTGCAGAAATAAACTTGTAGTGGTCAGTCTTTAGGCCTAGCTGAAATTTGCCCCAAGCCTTTTCAGCCATGACCCTTCATTTGGCTCAGAGAAAATAGCATTCCACTTGGGAATGCACAATGATATCTGTGTCTGTATCTGTGTGTTAAAAGATGATTGTTTAAACATTTTTGGCATACAGATGTTTACATTAAACTTATATTTCATCATTAGATATTTCAGCATTCAATAATTTAATGATGTATTGTACCCCACAAGAGCCAAACATTCACATGACGCTGGGTGACTGAGCTAAAATATCTACATTCAGTTCATTTTCTTGTATTTGTAACCTTGTATAAATAAATACATATTACATTTCTCTGTATTGCTAATCCGGATATAGCTGTTTATATATTGGCATTGGTAGACGTATACATATATCATACTGTATCAGCATTGGTAGACTTATACGTGGAAATATATGAAATATTGTCATTAGCCTGCGATTCCCATGTGCCCATCCTTAAATTTTACGTCTTTCATTTGTAGCTGTTGTTGATTTGGTCAGGGAAGCTTCCAGTACTTCTCCTAAAAGTAATTCTCTTGGTGTTTTCTTAAGTTCCTAAATGTGACAGTCTGCCTCAATCTACATCAGCCTGTTATTAATCCTCACAGTTCAAAGGTGTCTTGAGATCCACTCGGTTATCCTACCTCATTTTAGTTACTTTATTTTGGCAGTCTAATCTGATCATTCTGCATTAGCCAGCTGCCAGCTCATCTGAACACTTGCCTTGGGTTATTCTCTCTGTGACTGCTCTATGACCAGCCATGTCAGGCTGAATTTTCATGTGTAGTGAACCATAGGAAATAATCCTATTCAGTGATAAGGGCCACATATACGATGGGCTGGACTTTAATCCTAGGTGCCTGTAATTGTGTTTATTTAAACTGACATACTTCCAATGTGACATTTATGTTAATTTCTTCCACTTTCTGTCAGTATTTAGAGTTAAGTGTTGAAACATTGAGAAATGTGTACCAGAGGTACAAGAAAATATGGTCAAAATACAGACATGGTTTTCAATAACTTTTGGATTAGGCTCCTGCATTGAAAGTATGTGCAAAATAATGAGAATATGTACATGTCTGTGGGTTACAGTAGGAGCTTAGTAGAGCCTCAGTGTCAGAGCATTGGTAAATAGATGTTTCAGTATTTCTGTGCACTTCCATCAGTCGTCCAGTGTAGATTGTCTCAGTATAACTGTACACCCATAATAAGTCACTAGACAAACATTTTCTGTGAAATGAATGAGTGAAAATTTAGTTTTCCTTTTGAATGTAGGGACATGTATTGGGGGAAAAAGGGGGAAGAAACGTCCCAAAAGAACATTACCCATGTAATATAACTGCATAATTGCATGAGGTTTGTGTGTATAGAATGATGCCTAAACCAGACCAATAATGATTTAAACAAATCAACAGCATTCAGTATTAAATTGCTTATGTTTATTGCACATGACAAAACCAGTCAGGTGTGGATGTAGCTCTGCCTAGCTTTAAAACTTGTATTCAAACACCCGGCCAAAAATGTTGCCAAATTCTATCTCACGATTGCTATAAATAGCATGTAATACTAATGTCCACTTTGCCCTTTGGTTGCCCCTGGTTGGGCTTCTTTTTTTAGACCCAAAAGGTTTAACTTTACATTTTCATATAAAATTTATGTCAAATGTATTTTGTACAACTTACTATAATTAAATAGAGCACTATAATCCAATGAGATCACAAGTTTTTGGGGTAACAAATTCCAGCATGTGGTTAAAAATTATGTTAAACTTAGTTAAAGTATAGCCATTAAGTAAATTTGTTGATTAGATTTGGCCTCATCATTTGAACAGGAAAGAAAATAAGTGTGTCAGGGACATCAACCCAATGTTGGGCTAATATATATTAAAAAAAAATGTTGAACCCAACAATAGCCTTAAGTTTCAGAATGGGTCTTATTTTCCCTACTGTTTTTGAGACCACAAATACTTTTCCTCTGCAGAGGAAACATGCAACAAATGGCTTAATAACTGGCTGTCATGCAGATGGCAGCAGTGACATAATTGCATGGGGTAGCATTAAGCTAGCAAACACTGTAGTGTGCACCTGCTTCCATTGCTTCGGTATCCACCCATGGCATAGACTAGCTGGTGATGTTAAATATAACAGGATCTTTTGTAGCATAGTACGGCCTGTATGGTTAAGCACAGCTTAATTAATACATTAATATATGTGATAAAAAATAAAAAAAAAACATTTGCGCCAGCACTGATAGCCAGTGGCTAACGGATATTTATACTAGGGCTGCATGATATACAGAAAGTGCCATATTGTGATTCTTTTGCTACATATTCTAATTGACATACATTCTATGACATATTAAAAACACATTGGTGAACCTTTGGTCAGGATTCTCACAGCACACATTAAAAAGTGTAGTGTAAAACTAGTATTTTAATACCAATCAACAAATTATAAATTATGCAGCCCCTGGTGTCATTTACGTATGATTTATTATTGTTACTTGTAACAAGTGAATGCTGAACTACAAATTTACATATTTACAGGTTTATTAGTTAATGCTTGTACATATCTATGGGCATTGCAGTAATGTTGCACTTGACATTTTAGGTACAGTTCAAATAAAGCCTTTCCAACTGCAACCCTATGTTTGGCTGAGAGAAGATGGATCAGCAGAAGGGCTCAACACATCAACATTAGTTGATCATTCCTGTGCATTTCTTTTGATATGTATATTTTTGGTTGTGATTGGGATAATTCCAAGTACTTCTCAGACATATAATTCTTTTTGATCTTTGTAATATTGGTTTTACATCTCAAAGCATACCATCTTATGTTCCCTTTTCACGGTACACGCATTGCCAAGTCTAGTTTGTTTCCATTTCCTTTTAGGTTAGGTTTTTTAGATTTCAGACCAGGTTGTCCACAAAATGAACACTTTTACGTAGTTATTTTACTCTGGTTGACATGTCTATCTTGAGATATCCAGCCAAATTTCTGTTGTCTGATTTCATTGCAGGGCGAATACACCAAGCCATGGTCACGTCGCTTAATGAGGACAATGAAAGTGTCACTGTGGAGTGGATAGAAAATGGAGACACAAAAGGCAAAGAGGTAGAGCCCTTGTTTACATCTCCTTTGCCTCAATCCTTATCTCTTTTCCCTGAAGAAGAGGGCTGCAACAGGTGCTGTTGACGGCAGTATCATAACAGTATGAATGTCTCACTGGCCAAAAAGTCATGATTTATGCTGCAGGTTTGTGTGTTGACACCAGAGCTGTATGGTTTTGAACTTGCAAGTTGACTATTACCTCTTTTGGTGCTTTACACTGGCACTTTTACTTCATTTCAGTTAATGTGTCGGATAAGGAGACACAAAACAGTTTTTGTATCTTTGTCTTAAATAATGTCCTGGTCCCTCAGTTCAGTTTAAAGAAGGAAACTGGCAAGCCAATGCAGTGTAATGTAAAATTGAGATATGTTGATGTTTTGCCATATCTGTCTTGTTTTCCAGTAGCTTTTTAACAACTCTACTGGATCTACTGTGCCAACAAGCATAGTGTGGGTGAATAACCATTCTGGACATTTTATTTGTTTTGCCTATACAGATTGACTTGGAGAGCATTTTTGCACTAAATCCAGATCTTGCACCAGAGGAAGAGATTGCACAAAGTCCAGAAACTCCTCCTCCTGCCTTGTCAAGTTCTGTAAAAGTTAACAAGATCCCCACCAATAAGGTTTGTTACTAAGCTTGCACTGCATAATAAGATGTTATCTGAATACATGTGCATGTAACTTATTATAATGGAATTTATTCTACTTTATGGAATTTATTAACTTTAGCACAAAGACAGGATTTTACACTTATATACTAATTTAAGTGAATAAATTCTCCTACTGTTCATTTTTGCATGCTTTGATGCATAATGGACTTCTTATATTGTGCCTGAATGCTGGATTTTTTCATTTGTTGTGCCTAGAATCGTCGGACAATAGCGCCACCTAAGAATGAAACACCAGCAAGGGATAACAGAGGTAAACCAAATATGCCAGTTTAGTTCACACTGAATGGTTTAAAACCATGATATCCTCATGCCTTTGCACCCAAAACAAATATTTATCTTTACTTTTCGATTCTGAAACATATTGTTTGTACTTGGTGTCACTGTAATTCTCCTAAACACTATACTGTAATGATTTTGAAACACACTCTTGGAAACCCACCATTTAATAATCATTCCCTTTGAGGTTTATTTATCAACAGAAATGAACAGAAGATCTTAGAATATTTAAGTTGGCATTTAGGTATTAAAACCCCTTAGGTATTGCATGTAATACAGTAAGGTCATACAGTCAGATTCACTTAGAACCAAGGTGTTACACCCTATAAAAATATATAAGGTAAGCTTAGAGGGAAAAAAAGCTTCTCAGGGTAGAACATTTGCAAAGTGGTCTTGGCTACAGTAGCTGATTCGATGTCTAGATACTAATGACTGTGCATAAATGAACTTGACTCAGAGGGTGTTTAGTTAAGGAGCATCCAAATGGTTGTCTTAGGCTTTTCATTGGAAATAAAAATAATTAACAGGTAAATAGTAGATAATAATAGATATTAGAAGGTATTTGGATTGAGTAATAAGTAATTGTAATGGTGTATTGCAACAACTTATTATTGCATTGTTTTAAGCACCATGATTCTGTTTTGTAGACTGTTCTGAATTCTGTAACACTTGGTGTCTTTGATTAGTTGTAGGTACTACAAGAGCAAGGCCCAGCCAGCAGACAGAACAGGCTCCAGCCGCTCCAGCCCCTCCTCCCATCCAGCACCAGACCCTGCAACAGCAGCAGAATGGTACAACAGCACAGTTCATATCAGAATGACACAGCACAGAACAGCATTGAGCATCACAGCAGAAGAGTGCCTAGTATACAGTACAGCATTGCATTGCATTGCATACTTGCATACAACACAGAATGATCAGGTCAAACAACAATATAACATGAAAGAGCTCAACAGAACCAAGTGTGGGTGATATGAGAACAAATAACATCATGACACTGGATAACATCTTAGTACTTATACATAATGTTTAGTTTTAATGATGTTTAGTTTTTAGTTTGTTTGTAAGTAAGTACTGCTTGCAGTAGTGCTGCTTTTCAAAAAAAGCTTTAAAATAGTACAATGCATTTTTCATGCAATGTTTGCAAAAAAATACAAACAGGAGAAAGAAAATGAAACAATTAGTACAAATACAAAAGTTTGGGCACCCCTGGCCACATGCCATATTTTATTGTAATTTTAAGTAAATATTCAAAAGTAATTATTTTTCTGCTAATGTTAATGCACAGTCACTATACATTTGATTAACATAAAAATAGAAAGTGATGGATCTTAATTAACCTGTTAGGCTGATATCAAATGATTGGTATAGTGTAGTGCAGTGGTCTCCATCCCTCGTCCTGAGATCTGCTTTCTTACAGAGTTTAGTGTGAACCTGTATCTAATATTCTGACCCTGAACTCTGTTGCATCTGATACAGCCAATCAGGGACTTCTGGAGAAGTTAATTAGTTGGAGCAAATGTGGCAGATGGTAGTTAGAACCAGGGTTAGGGTTATTGAGCACTGGTGTAGTGAATAGAACCTCCCCGATCCCTAGCGTATGCTGTATCAGTAAGAGCCACTGAGCAAGAATCCAAACACTACTACCGTCAAGCGTCTGCCAAATACCATATGTAATCAGTTTTTTAAAATATCAGTGCTTCCACCTTGCAATTTCCACTGTCCAAGATGTTATTAAGAAGTACAGTACAGTGCAATACAAGGAAAGGCAAAACAAAGAACCCGGGCAAGCTTTAACTGACCCAGGAGTGGTGGTGAGAATTTGCACAAACATGATTTGCATAGAAGAGCAACCTCATCACAGAAGTCAGCATCTGGACTAACGTCTTAGTATAGTGTTGATAATTTGGCACTTTCCACGATTAGTATTTTAATTTACGGTAATTAAATATGAAGTAACTAAAATCAACAGGATTAACATTTATAGAAAATACTTTGATACAAATGTCGTATTTACTTCTTTTCACGTGAAAGGTCAACAAAATACAAAATGTACAGAACTCCCCAAACAATATAACTAATTGATAACCAATCAGATACTTGATACTTCATTTTGCAGTTACCCAGATGTATAGCCAGCCATTATGTTTTCTGATTTAGTCTTTTTTTTTTTTCTTGGCATGTTTAAGGCTATTATGAGAAGAGGAGTTTGTGATCTCTTGAGTGTTAGAGTATATCAATCTCACAAAAGACTTGTAAAACAAAAGTGGAGTGGAGAGCTGTCAAAGGTTTGAACAATGCTAGTGTGTCTATCGAGAAAAACAAAAGAGGCATTTAGAGTTGTTTTCCAGACACCTCCGAGATGTTCCCTCTTGTCGCCATTGTTCGTCATGCAGTCCTCCTAGTGACCCTGGTCAGTACCTCATGCGTCACAATTTGATGTGTGAGTTTCATTTAGCCTAAAAATGCCTTTATGTCCTAAAAATGTCTTTGTTGCGTGAGACATTGATATTCTGTTTCATATGTCCAAGAAGGTGATGTGTTGTTATGTGCATGCAGCTCGCAGGAAGTCAAACTGTGTGAAGGAGGTGGAGAAACTGCAGGAGAAGCGAGAGAGGAGGCGCCTGCAGCAACAGGAACTGAGGGAGAAGAGAGCGCAGGTACAGGAAGAGAGCACCAGCCTGTTTGCTTACTATGTAGTGGAAAAGTTCACAATCATCCTCCAAACAAGAAGTATTCGCTTACATTAAATTTATTGTGTACAAAGGTCTGGATAAACAAACTAACATAAGTGAATGACAGCAGTTTTTAACGTTTAACTATTAATGATTGGTTCAAGCAACTAATAAAATAAGACATCAAATATACTTTGATGAACATAGTTTTATTTTGGATGTATTTTATTAATCTATTGAGCATTTTTAAATTGAATGGCTATTAACTGTTTGGTAAAATATTAAGTTTTGAAAAACTTTAAAATATTTTTGAAAGTGTTTGTCCCCAGAACGCAAAATAAACATAACCAACAGAAGGGAAAATACATTTTATTAATTACAAATAAAATTCAGTTAAAATAAAGAAAAATAAATGCTATTCTTAATGAGAATTTTATGTTCTTGGTTTTTTTTTATGTGTCTTCAGAACAGGTTCATTAATCGGCCTTGCTACAAATTGTGTGGTTCAGTCTGCTGAAACACTTTGCTGGGTCTGGATCTAGACAGTGGTCTGCCAGTTGACTGTGCCTACTCAAACCCAAAGTACATATGATTGATAGAAAGTCCACTGTTAAGCTTTGTAAGCAGAGCTTCAACATGCTTAGTTGTTTGGCTTATAATGAGAGCAAAAATATAGGCTTCAGTTTGGACTAATAGAATTCTGTTATTAGTGGGGAACCTTTCCTTTAGACCCCTTTTTGGCAATCACTGCAAGTTTTTCTTTGTGGGTACTGCAACAGAGACAGAAATACACAAAGGTTGCACGTATTACATGTTCACCATGCTCTGTGGTACTACATTCTTAATGACTCATCTTGGAGTGGCCTTGGCACTGTTTTGTCTGTTCCTAATTTGGTCTTTAAAGTGCTTTTTTAAAAAACATAAGTGATGTGTTTTATTTTCCATACAGGATGTCGATGCCACAACCCCTAATTATGAAATTATGTGCATGATCCGGGACTTCAGAGCAAGTCTTGACTACAGGCCACTGACAACTGCTGATCTGGTAAAAATTTCGGTCTTTCCCAAAACACTTGTGTCAATATACAGTACCATGTGTGAAATATGAATCTTTTTATTTTAGTTAGTTTACTAATAATAATATGTGCAGTGAGGGGACATGTATTCTGACAGTTGTTTTTATTTAATGTTGTTCCATTGCATATATCCATTTTAGATTTACACATAAAATTTACACATACACTTTGTACTTGTATGAATGAAAAAGTATGTATTGTAGTGTCGGTGCCATTTTCTCGTCAGGAAAATGCTCTTTATTAAAACAGCAGAGAGGGGAACTATTTATGCAAGGAGGAAGGTCACCAACCAAAAACACTATCCAAACAGGGTAAACACTTCAGACACACTGATGAAGCTGAAAAGTACACAATTAAATACAGCCAACATGTTCTCACACACAAGCAGCGACATTTTACACCTTAAATTTAACTAAATACATGCTGCGGTAAGGTGCATGGCTTTTTGGGAGTCCTCTACGTGCTCCGCTAAGCTCTCTTAATTGGCCCAAACCTTAAGTCCAATGGTGGTGCCACAGTATTCATAAGTAAGGACACATTTAAAAAAATTGATAGGGAAAAAAGTTTTCAGACATCACAAATAAAGAACATTAGTACTTTGGTACAAAGTGATTGTTGACAGTTATGGCTTTGTGATATCTGCAGTAAGAAGAAATTAGCTTGTTGTAGCATTATGGTTTGATTTTGGCACATTATTCTTGGCAAACTGTCTTACATTCCTCAAGGTTACAAGGGTTCCTTTGATAGACTTGCAATTCAAAATCAGTCTTGAATTTTAAATAGGATTCATGGGATTGCATATTATTGAACCAATTGTACTGACAAGGATGTTTAAAGACTGCAGTGTCATCTTTGAAAACAGAACGCTCATTCACCATGATTGCTATTTGTTGCATGGAATCTTCCCAACCAATGGTATGATAACAGGTTTTTGCAGCATTAATTTCTAAAACTTGTATAAAACTGTGTTTGAATACCTTTTGCTTTTGACTACATAATTTTTAGTTCATATTTGTAAGTACAACATCAAAAGACATTATGCTTGTAAATCTGAATTGGATATGTGTACTGGAAGTATATTTAATAACAAAATAAGAAAATAAATAACATAATAATAAAAACAAAAGAATCTGAATACTTGTTTCCCATTGCTGTAATTGCCAAGCACTGTTTGTTTATTTGTAAAGTAACTGATGTTTGTGCCTTTTTCCAGATTGAGGAGCACAGAATATGTGTATGTGTGAGGGCACGGCCACTGAACAAGAAAGGTAAGTCCTGAAAATTTAAAGTTGCTCAATTAAGCATTTTGATTTTATCGCATGAATGAAGTGCTGACCACTGTTTTTAAAAGATCCAATAATCCATTGTAAATCCTCTGTTACAGAACTGTCCATGAAGGACTTGGATGTCATTACCATCCCTAGTAAAGACGTGGTCATGGTCCATGAACCCAAACAAAAAGTGGACTTAACAAGATACCTAGAAAACCAGACATTTCGCTTTGATTATGCTTTTGATGATACAACCACAAACGAAATGGTTTACAGGTCAGACTTTTCTTTCTACCCCCAAAAAAGCTGACTAAAAGACGTGGCATTTTTTTTGCAAGAGTTTTGTTTGATCTTTCAGGTTTACGGCCCGGCCTCTTGTAGAGACCATATTTGAGAGAGGAATGGCTACATGCTTTGCTTATGGACAAACGGGAAGCGGCAAAACTCATGTAAGCTTCATTGTTAAACTTAGTAACAACAAGCACTTCAGAGGCTTTAACAGAAAAGAATACATTTTCTCTAAGGACCATTAACCCAAGCCGAACATTCTAATCCACTTTTCTCTGTTCCAGACAATGGGTGGGGATTTTTCAGGCAAAAACCAGGACTGCTCCAAAGGGATCTATGCTTTGGCAGGTTGTATGGGGCCTATGGCTCTCATTTTTTTTTATCATGTTTTACTCATATTAAAAGCTGTCCCTTACTTTAATCTAACTGTATTTCTTTACAGCACGAGACGTTTTTCTAATGCTGAAGAAACCAAACTATAAGAAGTTAGACCTCCAAGTGTATGCTACCTTCTTTGAAATTTACAGTGGGAAGGCAAGTAGTCGCTTCAGACTTCCTCCAAATATTATTTCATAAGATTTTATCATTGCATTATTCATACATGTGGGTTGATTGAAGGAGATCACCAAAACCTGAACTGGCAAAGGTAAAACATCAAGCACACTTGACTTATCCCTATGTATGTATGCAGGTTTTTGACCTTCTCAACAGAAAGGCGAAGCTGCGAGTTCTGGAGGATGGTAAGCAGCAGGTGCAGGTTGTAGGACTACAGGAGCGTGAGGTCAAATGCACTGAGGATGTCCTTAAGCTCATAGAAGTTGGAAACAGCTGCAGGTAAAAAAAATAATAATAATTTTTCACATAGTGCCAAATGTAGTAGGTCAGTGTTTGCTTGTTCCATTATTTGCTTCTTTAGTTTTGCATTAAACTTACAAGTCAAATGTTGCTACATTAGGCTTCATTAGCCTTGTAGGTGCAGTGTAAAGCTAAGGCTGGAGTTACAGTGTAGTTGCTTGAAACCTACATAACACTGAATTGCTCAAGTTGCATAATGTGAAGCATACTGCATGTCAGCTGCAACAGTTGCAACCATTTCAACTTGGCAGCACAAGGTTCATAAAACAGCCAGTCAAAGCACCAATAACAACATTGATTTTGCCTGATAATTGAACAAGAAAACAAAACAGAAGATGGCTTATTAGGCGGATGAAATTGAGACCCCCAACCTGGCTGTCTCAAGGTTGGTAGTTTTTTTTCTTGAGCCATGACAAATATGAGTTTCTCAAAGGTAATGTTTCTGTAACGAGCTCTAGTCAGCAAAGGCTGACAGCTGTTAAAATGGCTACTTGTGCCACCAATTTTTTTTTAGCCTGCTGTTAATATGATTCTCTCTTGATGTCCCCTAATTTTATGCAGAGCTCAGATTCATTTTAGATCTGAAGGATGAAAATTATTACAGAATAGGCAGCTGTGCTTCTAGAACAGTTATAGTGAGAAATCAAGTAGGCTATAACCATAATAGCTACTTAAACATTAACTTTCAGTAGCTTAACATTTAAGCTATTAACAAATAGTTAACAGATTAAAAAGACCTCAAATAAAGAACCCTAGATGGATAGATCAAAGATGGATATATTGATATAGAAAAGAACGGTGAAATATGAAAAATATATACAAAAATAATAAGCATTGAAATTATATAAATAAATATATACACAACACGCAAGGTATGATATAATTTATATAATTTTTGCTTGTTCGTGTATCCATCAAGTTACATGGAAACCTCACAACATGCAACTAGTTGCATGAAAGTTTCACTGTGTAAAGCTGACTTAAAAAAAAATAAAAAATCGATAAACAAACTATTATTTTCAGTTTCCCAATCCTGCTCTTGACGCACCCCTATGCTGCACATTTTAGTGTTTTCTCTGGTCTAAAACACATACTTAAAACCAGGAGGAGCTTAACTGATAAGTCATATGTGTTGGAGCAGGGCAGTTTAACAAAATATATGTGCAGGAATTCTCCAGGTCCAGGGGATCTTAATTATCAATAATGCATGTGTAATTTTGTGTGTAATCCCTGCATGCACATAAATGGAATAGAAATAAAAAAGAAAACTGTAATCCCAGGTAGATCTGTTATGAAACGTACTTGTTATGCAAACTCCCACTTATTGTCAACCGTTTCAGCATAACCATGTTTAATAAATGCCAGTTTTCTGTTAGATACTGGGGGGTTCTTACACATGCAGTTGAGAACCACTGTTTTAGGTCCTTTGTTACCTACTGACTTCTTTGTTTAATTCTTTGATTTCTCCTGCAGAACATCTGGTCAGACCTCAGCCAATGCTCACTCCTCACGTAGCCACGCAGTGTTCCAGATCATTCTACGGAGGAGAGGCAAAATGCATGGCAAGTTCTCCCTGATTGACCTCGCGGGCAACGAGAGAGGGGCAGACACGTCCAGCGCTGACCGCCAGACTCGCCTCGAGGGGGCTGAGATCAATAAGAGTTTACTGGCTCTGAAGGTTGGACTACCCGCACACAAACACAGTGTCACCTTGATATTCTGTCTTTTTGATATTCTGTGTGAGTGCTAACACTGTGAACTTTCTCCTTGGCAGGAGTGCATCAGAGCATTGGGTCGCAATAAGCCTCACACTCCCTTCAGAGCTAGTAAGCTTACCCAAGTTCTGCGAGACTCCTTCATTGGAGAGAACTCCAGAACATGCATGGTGAGAGATTTCTCTGTCATTCTAGGTTGGTCTTGCTGAATACACCAGCATTACATGCATATTTTCATTTACCTTGACATTTGCCAAAATACGCTCCCTGGCTAGTTTAGTAGGAACACCTCAGCCTCAGTCTCTAGAATTTTCATTGTCAGATTTGTTCAAGCTATCAAAAGGCTACAGTAAGTCACATAATCACTCTTTACAACAGTGGTAATCAGCCAAGAACAAGAATCTGAGGCTATAGGGGGTACAGGCTCATGAACCCAACCTACAGCGGTTTATGCTGATGGTGATAGTAGTGTAGAGGTGTGGGTAGTGCTTTCTTGGCACACATTCGGCCCCCTAATATCAGTGGAGCATTGTTTTTCATATGGGCAACAGCCCATATGGGTATTGTTGTTGACCTTGTGCATCTCTTTAGGGCCACTATTTATCCATCTACTAATGGCTACTTCCAGCATGATAATGCACTTTGTCATCACAGACTGGTTCCATAATCATGACTGTGAGTTCTCCAGTCACCAGCTCAGATTCCAGTAGAGAATTTCAGGATGTGGTAGAATGGGAGATTCACTGTATGAATGTGCAGCTGACCAATCTGCAGCATTTACGTGATTGTCATGTTATCATGGACCAGAATCTCTACGGAACATTTACAGCACCTTTTTGAACCCATGCCTAACAAATTTAGGTTGTTCTGAGAACAAAATGGGGTCATACCCAGTTTTAGAATTGTGTTTTAGAAAGTGGCCACTGAGTGTACTGGGGGAAAATATTGGCACATCAAACAGTATTGTATCAGGGAAAACTTTACTCACAGCACAGATCCTAGATTAGCACTTCTACTTCAAGAAGTATGAATATTGCTCATTAACTCAAATGTATATATTCAGATATGTGAGTGCACATCCCTAGTCTTTGGTTAACGTTTAAATATTCCTTCAGCAGGTGCCAAATGGCGTCCTTTGTAACAAGGACGATTCTAATATTGAGTAAAGGGGTGAAGGGCTGAAGAGACAGATCTTTGTGATGTCTCCAACCCAAATCAGATAATGCTCAAAGCCCAACTTCATTAATGTGGACTTTGCCGTTGCACTTCATTAACTAAAATAGAAAGGCTTCTGAGAAGGAAGCTCTCCCACATGAGGAAACCTTTTAAGTGATCCTGTTCAGCTTGTCGTTATTGAAATGCAGCATTTCATGCATTGGGATCAATATTAGTCTAATGCGGTTCCCAGCATTAGCCCTAAGTTACAGGAATGGCTAATGACCTAATGATTTTCAGATAATCATTAATAATGCGATTCTGTCCTGTCTACAGATTGCTACTATCTCTCCTGGCATGGCTTCCTGTGAGAACACATTGAATACGTTGAGATATGCCAACAGGTATGTGGCCTGTTAATGCCTACTGAAATCTATCCAGAGCTGATCTTACCTTTAAGTACACAGTCCTTTTTAAGGCTTCTGTGTGTGCAAATCGATTCTAAACCCTGAACCTATTTAGTAATGAGTCTGATTGCTAGGCCCAGTAAAATTGGAGTATATGTTTTTTGGGTGAGAGTGCAGATCTCAGCTTGGCTCCCCATCCAGACACAGTTTAGTAGTCACACTTAGTGTAAGCATTAGAACTTACTTTTATGGGACTTCATAAACTGAATTTGAGAGGGTTTAAGAATTCTTGATTGTATGTAAATATTTAGGGATTTCTTGGCTGCAGTTAATTTCCCCAGTACAAGAGAATGTGTTGTCTTTATTTGTGCTATTTGAGAATTCAGAGTTTGTGTTTTCATCTTGTAACAACTATTTTCTCCCTGGGTACATAGTATGTCATCATGCAGTACATGATATTCTAAACAATTTTGGTTGGAGTACAGTAAACAGTAATGGAACATATTTTATACATGGTGGATGACTAACTGCTAATTAGTTTTTGACTGGACCATTTAATTTGTTCATAAATAAATCAACGTAAACAAAGGCATTCAGAGTGGATTGATGCAAAATAGTTAATTCTACAGAAACTTGCCAAGTCAGAATTGTTCACATTGGTGATAGGAGCCAGACGTCCAAAGCATTTAATGTCTATAAAAGCTACCGCAAATAAAGTTATTACATTAATACATTACACATACATTGCCTGCATAAGGCCTTGTTTTATTATAGTTTTGAGATCAGGTTTTGGCCTTAAACCTTTTTTGGAAAATACATTCATGGCACAGGGGTGCATGCAGGCCATTGGGAGGCAAAATAGGACCCAGAGAAAACTTTACCATTATCATCATTACATATTAAAACTCAGAAGACATGTGTTGGTTCACTGGTCATTTTGGATAGTAAATAAAATGGCTATATTTGCATTGTAGTCATATCGACCCCTGGCTCCTATCACCACCACTGTAAAGAAATCTGAGTTGGCAGGTTTCTCTACAGTGGCGCATGTCTAGTCATACTACTCTAAATCATTTTGTTTACGTCTCAGCAATTGAATTGTGCAGAAATTTAGCAAAATCCCCCTTTAAATGGGTGTGGAATTAGGAATTAAAGATCCATTCCAGCTTTGTGTCCTGTACACCTTTGACTGTGCCATGTTAATGGTGAGGACTGTACTTCTGTACTTCTGCTCACGGGCTCCTTTCTCTGTCCCACCGGCTGTGTGTGCTGACCATGTCAGGGTGAAGGAGTTTGGGATAAGCCCCTCAGACATCCCCTTCTCTCAGGGGGGCAGTGGCCGCTCCGAACTTTCTCCCACCTACGAGTACGATGACTTTGCTTCCTCACCCAGCAGGTCTCCCTTTTTCCACCTCATGCACGCTTCCTTAAACATGCCTCCACTCCTCTGTTCTGTCTTTCTGTTAACATTGACTGTATTGATGAGTTGCTCTCATTTCAGTATGGAAATGCTTTTGTGCACCTTTTTTGTGCAACATTTTTTTTTGTTTTTTGTAATTTTTTTTTTTGTTTTGTTTTTGGTGATTATTATTGTTTTTTTTCCTTTGCTCTCTCACCAGTCAGTATTGCAGTTTTGCATAACCACATTTCAGCATGTTTTAATCATTTATTGTTTGGTAGATTCAAGGTCTGTGTCCCCATGCTTGTGCCTTATAAGCTAACTGAATTCATTCAAACATACACTGTGTGAATGAAGAGCCTACAGTGATGAGTCATGTTATTAACACCTTGTTCCTTTGCAGTGATGATGAGAAGTTGAGTTTCTATCTCTCTGTGTGTGAAGGGTGAAGGAGCTGACCGTTGACCCCAGTGCGGTGATGGAGGGCCGGACAGGAGGCCACCAAATGACTCAGCTAGATGTATTGGAGGCGCAATGGGGAGTGGGAAGCTCTCCTCAGAGAGATGACCTCAAACTGCTCTGTGAACAGAATGTAAGAGAAATGTTTGCCAGGACATGCTGAACATTTCCTTTTAAATACATCTGTTGTCCTGTCCCCCAGCATACTGTGGTGAACACTATAGCTGTAAATATAGTGATATATACTGGAATCGTACTAAACATTGATGCCAACTTGAAATAAATATTAAGGAGGGAGCCCGAAGTCATTGCAAGAAATAAGTGGTCATCATTTTACCTCAAACTCTGAACTCTGAAAATAAGGATAGAGTTAATAGATTGAAAACTTGAGTGACCGTCAGAAAGATCAGTAAGTAGATGAGACTGCAGTATAGCTTTAAAACAAAATAAAAATAAAGGTACACATTTACAAATACAAATTGATTTTCAGTGTTTTATGTGTTAAAAGTCCACTATATAAATTGGTTTGGCTGAGAAGTAGAAGTTCATAGGCAGAACTTGTTCACTGCTGCCCTCCAGCATAACAGGCCCCAAAACCCAAACTGCAACTCTTAGAATTTGTCAGTGTGAATCATTTGAACTTGGGTGCATGTAAAACTTAAGCTACCACTAATAGGTCCACTCAGATGCCTAGTTTTGATCATTGATGATGGTTTTGTTGAAAAACTATAAATAAGAGAGCCATGTACGAGACCAAATGTTTTATTTTCAGTACACTGTTCATTTTTTTCACATTTTTCAATACCGTATTGAAATCATTACACCCTTGAAATAAGATCATCGAGACTTCATCAGCATGGTCTACAAAGTGCGACAGGGCAGAGATTTTAAGTACTTTTAAGGCATAACTACATATAAGTGTAGTTTTCATTATTTTAATTTTCTTGATTTATTGTGCTATAAATATTCACACAATAGAAAAAAAAATATTAAAACCATTAAAGTACAGTACGACTCTGGGAAATTGTAGTTAATATATACAAACAGATGTGTATTTGTGTAGATTGAATACTAAAAGTAAGTTTGTGTAAATAAGTCTTTTGTGGTGTGTGTGTGTGTGTGTGTGTGTGTGTGTGTGTGTGTGTGTGTGTGTGTGTGTGTAGGAGGAGGAGGTTTCGCCTCAGCTCTTTACCTTCCATGAAGCTGTATCTCAGCTGGTGGAGATGGAGGAGCAGGTTCTGGAAGACCACAGAGCTGTGTTTCAGGTACAGTGTTAACATTAGCATGATCCTCTGTATCTTCATTCATAGAATTTTTCTTCACATTTAACACATGGCACCAGCTAAGAGTGAACGTGTGAAGTATTGTACGTAGCTCCACTTTCTTTAAATCAGCTTAATTCATTTTGTTATTTCATGTGGATGCTCTGATGGCTTGTGCTAGTCTCCAAAACAAGGCTCACAAATTGAAAACTCCACACTGAAAAAGTTGCAAGTTATATTTTTAAAATGTATTGTTTGATATGGTTGACTATGCATGTCCTTTGTTTTATTATTCCACTGCAGGAGTCTATACGCTGGCTTGAAGATGAGAAAGTTCTTATAGAGATGACCGAGGAGGTGGACTACGATGTGGATTCGTACGCAACACAGCTCGAGCAAATTTTGGATCAAAAGATTGATGTTTTAACGGAGCTTAGAGGTAACTGAACATTGAATTGAATTTCATGTTTTTGTGCTTGTGTTTCTGTCTGAATTGCATTTTTTGAACCCCCTTAAATCGTCTTGCAGCACTAGATCATAAAGCAGGACTTAAAAGCGAGCCAAAATTGAGGACGGTGCAAGAGGAATGTCCCTTATTTCTCTTATAATTTATTTTTAATATAAACTGAACAGCCTCATAGTTGATGACATTCATTAAATTGAACAAAAACAGCCACTCGATTGAGTATTTTTAGGAGGCCCATGAAACTGCATATCTGCACCATATTTGTTCATTTGATCTCTGGAAAATGTCTTTTTCCCTTTTGAAACAGATAAAGTGAAGGCATTCAGATCTGCTCTTCAGGAGGAGGAACAAGCAAGTAAGCAGATCAACCCCAAGCGGCCACGAGCCCTCTAAAGCTCCCCCCCAATCCTCCTTGATGCCCTCTAACCTCTCAACACTGTTCCCTCAGTACTGCTTCAACATCCAGCCGCTACAAGAGAAATCTACAGTTTTTTAGCTTCACCCTCAACTCCATCTCCATGAGTAACTTTACAATTGGTGTTGTGTCAATTCTTTTTCATTTCCAGGAGGGTTAATAAGCACATTTTGAAGCCTAATTGTATAGTATTAGAATTAATTTCGGTTCACACTAAAATTACTTTTATAATACTCTACAATTTAAAGGGCCATAAGGGTATTAGTAAAGAGAATTTTTGAATTAATGCATGCATATACCAGCCATGATTGTACTTATGCATTCTCCTAGACCTGACCCATTGAGCCTGTAAATATAACGTTTCATTAGATACGGCTGCTCTTGAAATATATACTGACTCCTCGATTTACATGACAGTGGCATTTGATATAGCTGGATACAGCTCTCGGTGGAGAATGGCCTTCAGAAACACTGAAAAATACAGCATAAACTGCATGTTTGCATTGAGGAACATTCAATACTAAACGTTTTACATTTACAAACTCTCTAGTCTTAAATTTACAAGAGAAATCGGCACTAAATTCCACTTGTTTTAAAAAAAACCTTTGCTTCTTACTCTGTTACAGTGGCCTCAATAGCACTAGCAGGTTCTCAGCAACATGTGAGGAATGGCAGGAAAGGTAGGCATTAGCTTGAAGCTTTAATATCCAGGTTGAGGGGTAATTGCTTAAGGTAGTGATTCTTAATTACAGTCTTGGGAGTATTTTCATAAAGCAGGAGTTTCAGTGAGCTGGATAACGTAAAGTGAAATTCCACTGATTTCTGCATATTTCAGTCACTGGGATGTAAACTCATTCGTCGGTGGTTTGATGTGAAATGGTTCATTGCAGAGAAATTTACTGACACAGATTTCTTCACAGTGGTGCTGATAGGAACCAGTGAGTCATAATGTCTACAACACAAACATAGACATTTTATTTGCTTTCCAAAATAAGCCGCGAGCCTACATGTGTCTACTGAGTTTTATATTTAATGTTGATGATGGTAAAATGGTGGTAAATCTAAAAAAAATGGGTACTTTGGGTACTTTTTACCTTTCAACACACCTTTTCAAAACATTATCTTAAAACTGTCAAAACAGTTTTTCAGGCATCAGGCAACATATTCATAACGTTTCACAATGTTTCATATTCAACTGTTTGAGGGAGCATTTAGAGGTATTAAACTTTTCAGACGTCTGGTTACCATCACCATCACTGTGAACAATTCTGACTCGGCGGAGTTTTCCAGAATGGAGCATTTTACATCAAACCTTTCTGAATGACTTCATTCATATTGTAATGATTTATTTATCATCTTAAAGCCAGAAAGGAGGATTGAACCAGTCGGAACGTACCTGACCTCTTCTTCCATTGGTCAGACTTTGCTTTGGGCTTAAGTTGTCTGGCTAACTGAGTTTATGCTTTGTGAAATCTTCATCTTTAGCTGGTCCCAAGTTTCTAACATGGCTGAAGATTTTTAAAATGCTAAATTAAAGACTGTAACTGAGATCCGTAGCACAACCCATTCAGTAAAAGGGACTTGAGAAAAGGGAAGTGTTGTCTTGTTAAAGGTTGAGATTAAAGTAAATTTATAGGAAAAAAGGATAAAGCATACTTGTAGATACAGTTGTATCTTAGATGCGTAAATCGAGGAATCTGTGAAGTTGTGGATGTTCTAAATTCAGCTGTTACTGTAACTGCCAGTGTACTTTTTTTTCTTGTATGCACCATACACACCATGTTCAGTGTTTGTTTGCTACTGTATTGTTTACAAAAGCAAAATCAGTACATTCTACTGATGTTTCCTTTTCTTGATCTTGTAAAAAAGGGGGAAAAAAGAGAATCATCTCATTTTAAAGTTGTTTTTAAAAAGAGCAAAGATAAGTTCTGATCTATAGCACTGATGTGGGAGTAACCGCTGCAGTGTAAAACTTAATGGTACTCTGTGTGTGCGTGTGTGTGCACATCTGACGTATTGCTGGGGTAAAGAATAAAGAACCACCCGATGACTGGATCTGTTACTGTGTCACGTTTCTCACTCTCATCATTACTGTACTGTCAGATCTGGTATAAGGGGAGCCTGGACACTTTGTGTTTCTCCCGTTATATCAAAAACCCCAGGGCGTGAGCAAGTCCTCAGTTAATAGAGCTAAACAGCTAAAGAGGAGAAGGGCTACCAGAGCACTTGTAAAGAGGAGAACTACATTCTGCAATGTCTTACGGGTTTCTCAAACGCTAGAGGGCGCTCCCGAGTGAGTAAAATGAATGGATTAAGGTGGAGCATTTGAGCAAAATCATAGTTTATAAATGCTTAAACATTTTGAATGTAAAAGAATTCATTTATCTCCTGAACACAGAACAGCTTAAAACATTTTAACACGCTGTTATATTTTTAAAGAGTTTTTAAGTTACATCAGTTTAAAACGGTGCCTCGTGTTCGTTCATGACGTCAGTGAGCGCGAACAGCAAATGAGCTGCTCCGCTCGCCAATCAATCAGCACTCAGTAGCAGTAATGTTAGCGTCCTGCTGCCCAAAACCCGTTTGTTGTAGAAAAAAGGAAATATACAGGTAGGTTTTCTTTGTTTTTTAGTGAAATACATCCTTCTACTTTATAAAATTAAAGAAAGGTTCAGGGCGAGTGATTAGAAACGATTTTTACTTTTCGTTTTTAGCTGTTAAGATCAATTTACTCCCATTCATTAAGGACTCGCTCGCGGGTGCCCTCTGCTGTTTTGCAGTCATGTTTTTGATACAACAAAGGAAACAGGAAGAGGCCAGACTTCATAAACCGGCTCTGTTTAACGTCTCTGTTTTCGCTCATAGCAGACACGGCTCCTCTCTTTTCACTTTGAATGTGGAGAGACCTTTAAACCTAAAACTGATACCCAGACTAACAGTTCAAATACGTATTTGAAATCACTGGTCAAATCTGACAAAATAGTTTGTAGCGTTTGGCTCAAATAACCCAAGTTATTTTTCCAGATTCTTCGGGTTTCGTACTCGCAGACTGGTTCTTTTTAACGGAAAGGCGCAGCTTTCCCCCATAAACCTGAAGTCATGTTGAGTGTTACGAGCTTTGCAGTGAACCAGAGAGGAAGTGTCTTGGGCCGTGTCTCCACTGCACTTTCAAAAAACAACTGAAACTAAAGGAACAAAAGCACTACTACATTTTTCACCACTGGACCCAAATAACCCGAAGGTAACGGTTTAATTGTGTGGCGCTATAATAGTCAGTACAGGTCTAAAGTGGAAACTTAGCTGCCTTACTTGCTAGTTAGTTTATCTTGTTTTCTGATATGAAACGATATACTGTTCTGCGCTGACATACACACACAGATGTTTACCATCACAATCATGTTCAGAGTCAAACAAAGCTTGTATTTCTCAGTCGAGTGTGAAGATATGAGCAAGGGATTACTGAGATGAACATTTTTATAACCCATAATTTATGAGTTATGAAAAAGGACATTTCAAGCATCAAATATTAAATGGATTCACTCATTACTGCAAAAATCTTACGATTTTAAAACGATTTTATTGATCGTATTGTGTAAGTGTAGCTATGATGGGCTGGGACAAAATACTGTTTCCAAGTGCTGCACATAGGTTTTCTGTTTTACATCATTTATCTGACACATGCAGATTGGTGTAATGACAATTTACCCATTTTTAAAATGTCTTTTACCTTTACATACATACTTTACAAATGTATTTATAAATGTAATTGTGTGTGTGTGGGCTGGGGGTCGAATGGCACCGTAACTGTAGAATCACCCTTACAAAGGAGATTGTAAAAATATGAATCCACACAAACATACCATTCAAGTTTACTTTCTGATGCACTTATTGGTCATGTAGTGCTTTGTGACTTTATCTTCATGTGGAAGAGGAAAGAATTTGCTAAATTGTCATTCGCTAGAAGTATTACCAAAGACAGAGGAGAAATCCCTTAAATATTATTAGGTCCTGTGTGTGCAGACCACAGAATCTTAAGTCATGGACTGATGGCCAATGAAAAAATATTCAGATATAATCAGATATTTTTTTTTATTCGTTGAGCAGAAAAATTCTGTAAGAGTAGAAGGTTCTAAACTTTAAACTGATACTATGTATGTGTTCATGGATAGAAGATATTTTATGATTATTTGAATCTGATGAAACGTTATTGTGAGTTTGTGGATAGAAAAACATTTTTTAATTGAAATGTGGTGGGGAAGTCTCAAGTGCGGACTCTAAAGCTGTTGACGGTGTAAATCTCTGATCACAGAACATAAACTCATCCATCATCTAAACCGCTTATCCTTCTGGGTCGCGGTGGGGTGCTGGAGCCTATCCCAGCTGTCATTGGGCGGAAGGCAGGATACACCCTGGACAGGTCGCCAGTCCATCGCAGGGCAGACAGACAGACATACACATTCACACACACACTCACACACACACTCACACCTAGGGGCAATTTAGCATGTCCAATCAGCCTGACTGCATGTTTTTGGACTGTGGGAGGAAACCGGAGTACCCGGAGGAAACCCACACAGACACGGGGAGAACAGGCAAACTCCACACAGAAAGGACCCTGGTCACCCGGCCGGGAATCGAACCCAGGCCCTTCTTGCTGTGAGGCGACAGCGCTACCCACTGCGCCACCCAAGAACATAAACTCACTGTATAATAAATATGTAAATACATTTGAATAGTGCAGCAAAACAGAGGTTGTGTGACTTGCAAAGTGTTAATGAATGCATTTCTAATGAGGAGCAAAAGCTTCTCAAAAACACATCAGTGGCTCAGTGGAGCTGTATTTTGATTTGAACGTTGCTGTTACTGTGTCACCCCTGCCTTTCAGAAATTACAGAACAATTTGCATAACTGTCCAACTGCATTTAATCCACATTACATACAATAATACATAACCAAGCACAGGTGGGTGGACCACCAGGCTGGAAAGGAAAAGAGCTGTGAAGGCATACGCTCAAGAAAATAAAACACTTCTCACCCATCCTACAGTGATAAAGGTGTCAGAAACCTCAGGAGCTGTTAATTGTTGATGGTAGCGCTGTTGTATTTTATAAAGGACAGTTTGAAAACACAGACATCTGTGAGAAACATGATGCATTTGGACAGAATCAGAACACTCAGCAGTAAAGAAAAACAGTGCGAAATGTGAATTCTTGGATGGTCATCTGTGTATCCTGAATGTAATACTGTACGAACATGAGAACATAACACAAAAATGCACTTCGAAAATATTTTTCTGCCACTTGTTTGCTATAGTACAATATCAGTACATTCTCATTCTTAGACACTCATTGTCATATTGTGCTATATGCTTCAAAACATTTACATTACTTGCATTTCCAAATTCCTACATGTTAACGGATAATGCTACAGGTATTCTAGACAGAGGACAGTGTATTCAGAATTTGTTATTATAAAGTGGAACGTCATTATACTGTAAAACTGACCTAGAGGTGTATATAAATTTGCAATATATAAAGGAAATAACTTACTGTGCTCTATGGTCTATGATACATCACTCTTAAAATAATGATTAATGAAAATGGCTTTCTTCCTTGTGGTTCCCAGCACTATTGGCCTATCTGTATCACTAAATTACTTCTGGAGACAGCAGTAGAAGGAATTCATCAATATTTTGGGGAAAATTGTCCAATTTGAAAAACAAGAGATGACATAAAAATATTTTTTTAAAAATTGTACTTGTTTATAAAACATCAACTTCCAGTGAGTGTAGTACATTTATGGGTCAGACGACCACATCAGCTGAGAATTCTTGAAAACAGAAGACCAACTGTATAAGCTATAGCTGCTTACCAGCTCCCCCTGCTGGGCAAACCACTATTGGTCAGATTTAATCACTATGTTACTCGTGAAATGGAAAGGAAGGGGGACTTTTTTTTTTTTTTTTGAATGCACTCACAATTACCTACTGGTTGGACGCACTGAATGCATTGTTCATGTCTGAGCATCAATTTTTTCGTGCAGTTACCACATACAGTCCTTTCGTTGCCATTTTAGTCGTCTAGGTTTCCATAATGCGTGTTAATGGTTACAAATAAAACAGGCCTGTTGTTCTGTAATAAAAATCTAGTGAATCTAGTGAAGTGTATGGGACATACACTAATCCCCACCACTATAATTTACTTTAAAAATGTGACTTTTAAATAAATAAAGAAACATAAATGTTCTATATTTTTCTTCAGTTCTTCATTTAATACACGTAAATGGACAGCGAGTCATTTTCCTGGGTGTGTTTACACAGCTTGTAGAAGTAAGTATGTTGGCGTAAATGTGGATCAACGTGCCTCAAAGGATGTTTGCTTGAAGAATGTTGCTTGTGTGCCCGAGACTGATTGTCTGTGCGGTGGTGTCTTTTGTGATTTTTATTGTAGATAAACTGTAATGGTGTGCATGTTGTTGGTCCTTAAGAAACTGACTCAATCGTATGATGAAAATAAAAGCAACGCATGAATACGGTAAAATCTGAACTATACATAACTTCTACATAAATTCTTGACCATACATTTCCTATATAGTAAAATGTACATCTTTACAATATCTACACTTTCTTTATTCCCACACAGACCTCAGTCAGAAACACCCACTCTTTCTTACAATCACCTGAACAAGTTTTAAAACGAGCGGCTGTATCCAAAACCTCCCAGCAGTCAAGTAAAATGTACAGCTCTAAGAGAATCCTAATTAAATACAACTGATATTCGCACACGATGAGACCAGTTTTCCAGTGTAGTCACCCCAAAAAAATTCCATCTGTATACAGTATATGGCTACAACTGATCATGCCATCGAATCTAAAAACAAGTAAAATCACAGCTCATGATTAAAAGAATATACTGCAATAGTTATATATATATATATATATATATATATATATATATATATATATCACACATACATATGAACAGTATGCTAGAGCACTGACTTTTAAAGGACTTCAATGTGGACCAGAAACGATCTAAATCTTATAAACATTATACATGTTCCGTCAAAACTGAATCATTTTTTAGTTGATGAGCGCATATTTTACACACACACACACACACACACACATACACATATATATATATATATATATATATATATATATATGTAAACTCAGCTCAAATACTCAGTAGTACAATACAAAGGAAACATTGGATACAGCCTATGCCTTTTTTCAGTTCCTATGATCTGCCTATTTTTGGCACATTTTTGACATGTTTAATCCTGACATTGGAGATATATACTAACATGTGCACACGCACTTAAACCCTGCCATAAATGATTAAGTATCATGCACTACAAGATAACAATATGTAGCAACATGAGATGGTAACAAGGTTCTCCACTACTGACTAGTGCAAAAAATAACAATGAGGTTGTACAGTTGAGTAACTACAGCTTCAGAAAAAGAAATGGTTTTGGCCATTGGTTTGGATCAAGTGTCGCCAGTTGTACTCCATGATTTCCCCGTGAATAAAAGCAGTAGAGGTGCGGAAATTGGCGAGAGACAATTAACCACTGTCTTTCACTGGCTGGGAAAAAAAGAGATTTGTCCTGTGTTTGTTGTCTCGGCCTTGTCTCGATGTCCACAGGCAGCTCTTTATACGGCTTTGCTTATCATCTTGGATCTGTTTGACCGAAGGGCCGTGACTGAAGAATGAGAAAAGCATCAGACCAGGGGAAGAAGTATAAGAATTCCGAGGAAAGCGGTGTGGAGGCTCAGAAGGATCTTTACTTGGCTGTGTAACGGCATGCTGCACCAGGGAGATGGGAAAGCCAGCACAAACATGCCTGAAGAGTTTACAGGAGTGGTGACCACCCCCTAGTGGTGTCCAAGAGGTATTGCAAGCAGATGGCCAGATAAAGGGATTGTTGCCAAGTACATATTGAGAGTCACAAAAAAGCCAGTGTCCTTGGTTTTAGCCCGAGAGCAGTGCTCACTCTGTATCTCTTTAATGCTTGTGTGGTAATACATTGTTGAGAAGTTAAGGCCTCTGATGACCTGTAGGCCATGCTAAACACAAGTTACAACATGGTGGGGTTTCAACTTCAGTCCTTATTGCCAAACGCTGCAGGGCTTTTGACAAGAACCTCCAGGAAGGGATAGCTCTGTAAAGAGAGAGGACAGAGAGAGAGAGAAAGAAGGACAAATTGGCAAAGAGGGGAGAGTGTGGCTAATAGAAGTGGCTTCTGGGATTGACCATGGCTGGCTCATCTGTCCATGGCTGCCCTGAGCACGTGAGAGGGAGGCACATATTTACAGATGGAAAATGTTGGTAGACTCCAAGCTGGGAGAACTTTGCAACATTCCTGAAGAATGGATTCATTGTGAAAGAGTCCATACTCCATTTACCCCATCCAGCGTAGGTGCAAACAGTACATTCAATCAAATGGAGAGGCAAGGGCTGGCGTTCCATGACCCAGAGCGATGCTTTAAGGCATGATATTTCTTGTTTTGTGAGATGCCAATGAAACAAAACCTCCTCCCCAGTGCCACTCATGCTACATAAGAAAAAGCTGTTCCATTCCTTACGGAGTCCCCATTTTAGCCCATTTCACATGGCTTGCCCTTTTTTCTTTTTCTCAATCCACCCTTCCCTCCGAACCTACCCAACCCTGATTCCCCACCTTCTGTTCAAGGGTCTGCAGAGGTCCAGTCTAAGCTCCAGTTGGTGCTTAACCCAGGTCAAGGAGGGCTACTTGGGGCTCAGTGCGCCTCCCTCCAGCCTCCCAGATCGCCCCCAGCAGCCAGCTGCGATGCTCATGCTCCTCTGGGCACGCTCTGCTCGATCCCGGTCAAACTCTGATTGGCTTTGTGCTCTCTCGGGCCGACCTGTCTGGGCAGAGGGCGTGGCTGAAGCAGAGGGGGCTGGCTGGGAGGAGATGGTGCGCAGCAGGTGGTTGCGCTTGCGCAGAAAATCGCCGCCACCACCAAGGCCAAAGCTGCCCTTACGCAGCACCATGCGGGTGCTGCCCGCCTTGGCAGGTCGTGAGCGCTGACTGTACTCCAGCTGGGACAGGTGAGACGCATAACCGTCAGAGATAAACTAGGGTGATAGGAAAGGAAGGAAAAGGACAGGGTAGGAAAAAAGTACACAATGAATGTAAGCTGGCATGACCATGCTATGGGTGGTGGTTAGCCTTGTTAACTTATAATAAGCATTTTACACTGAATGAAATTTTAAGACTGTTACATGTCACGAGCAGTGCTTTGTTTTTATCAAGCCAAAGAACAATTACCAAAAAATGACCAAAGAACAATAAGGAATGTATTTTTATGTAATTCTAAAGCATACCTGACACTGGTGCTGCATTTTCTTTGTTGGTCTACCAACAATGTAGATCTGAGACGGAGGCAGGCCAAGTGAAGTGTACACAGAAATGTCCTTTGTGGAGCCATATGCAGCAAATATTTTCATATGCGCCTTAAAAGAGATAAAAAAAAGTTGAACTTGAAAAACTGAAACCTAGCCATTTCCTAGACAACTGTTAGACAACAGACCCAACTGCATCCCTCTTTCTGTCTCTCCTGCTACCCACCTCACAGATGAGGGATTTGAGGAAGTTGGCTTTGTGTCGGAGAGGGTCGTGCACCAGGCCATCACAGAAGGAGACAATACCGTGGGGAAAGTTGTGTTGGGAGAGCCAGGCCACCACTCGCTGCTTCTGCATGTCTGGACGGCCTGTCACATACACGATCAGGTAGCCTAAATCCTGCCAGTGCCTGTCAAACAGGACATGAGAATGTAAAATGAACTCGCCAACTTCATAGTCATTCTGCATTCATGAACAATAAAGGCACGTAAGCACTGGCTATGACTAATTTATACAGCATCTTTTAATTTTCATTTAAATAACACCCAGTGTATGAGAAAGGATCATACACCAGAATAATGGCAGCACCACCAACAGTAACTACAGTCACCCCAGAAAGCATTAAACAAAAATAGAAAAGGACACTATTAACAGCAGTGAGAAAGAGAATTAATGCAGTAAGGAGTTCCATCGGTTATTCATTCAGTACTTCTAGGCTAAAGAAGAACCTGACTATGAATGGAATGTAGACAGTGCAGCATACCTGACCACATCCACTGCTCCTGCTCTCACTTTAGGGTCACTGCCCATGATGGACACGCTAGCAGCAAATGAGCCATCGATGCTGAACACAACAAACTCTGTCCCACGTGGCAGCACGGTCAGGTAGCTGTCTGCTGATGTGTGGTCACCTCTATATGTGCAATATGTGCAGAGAACGTGAACATTAATACTCCACTCAAACCTTCAGGGGATTTATGAGGAAAGACCCTCAAAATCTATCTTTAGATGATAACAGTTATAAGACATACCTGACCACCATTTTGACAGGGTACACCCCGATCCCCAGGCGCTTGCTCTCTGGGATCACATAGGAGACACGGCCACTGCTATTGGTCAGCTCTGTGTCGAAGTACACCCATTCGCCTGAAGGGGGCTGGGTCATTATATGGATATCGACCTTAAACAAAAATACAACGATACAACAGATAAACATGCAAGGAAAAGTCTTGAAGTGTATTAAAAATGCAGGACATACGGATGACCTTCTTTAATCTGAGCTCTTATACAGAGTAGTTAAGTTTCTTCCATGCCTTTTCTCCTGTTAGAGTGACCATATCCAGTGGGCCATACATGAAGCGGCCAGTGACCATCTGCATGCCATCCTCAGTGAAGACCGCATCGTTCACACGATGGTTGGCTGTGACGTTCTGCAACACAGACATATACTTGAAGGTCACATTACATGTCAGGAATGTTTGCCTATTGTCAGAAAGTCTGCTGCATTTTGTCATTTAAAGCTGGAGACGAGTCAGTCTTTGTGATTAATATTTTCATGTTTGATTTTTACGACTCAAAATGTGAGATGGTCAGAAATGTCACTGAATGAGCGATGCCGCTGATAGAGACCTGTGCATTGGCAAAAGCAGCTTTCAAATACTAGAAAATGCACAAGTACCTTTATAACTTCAGCGCTTGAATAATAACCAGAATGTCAAAACGCTCTCTTTTCCCAATTTCCCATCAACTTGCCAGTTCATAGTAAAATGCTTCTCCAGTTCTTGCTGCAGAATATAATTATATCTGCAGGTCCAAAGACTACATTTATCCACAGCTTTTTCACTATACTTCTTTTCAGTGTATAAAAGCACAGACAAGTCCAAGGTTCAGAGTTGTTTGTGTCATGTGATAACGGCAGGATTTGAGAATTTGAGCACTTATTCATAGCCAAAACCCATTATCTGTCCGATATCCTCTGTAGCCTTACGAATGCTGCCCTTCACTAAGGTGTTACCGTATTTTAAGCTATGTAGTGTACTCCCCACTTTTATGTGCCCAAGAACCACCTAATTTGACAATTTGACAACAAAGAGCCATTGTTTTAGCATGAAATGTAGGAGCAGAAGATTTTCAAAAGTGGGCTACAGCAAAAATACACTCATGGAAAACAAAGTGGTATGTGTTGGCAAACGCTTGAGATTATTTTTCTTACTAGTTTCTAAATCCTTCAAAGAAAACTTGATTTTTTAAGATGTGATGCTGCAAACAAACTTGACTTTTAATCTAGTGATTAGCTCTTGATCTAAAAGGCTCAGTCTCGTCACTGCTTGCAAAAGTGTTTCCCGTCAGACTGAAAAAACCTGCTGCAGGGAAGAGCATACACAGATTTGTGGGCAGCCAGCGTTAATGGAACTGACAAAACCTAAATAGTTGTGGTCAGTACAACGTGCAAAAGATATCAGATGCTCTGTGTACATCTGTGGGTGAAGCATCTGAGGCTGAAACTAGCCAAGCATCTAGCCATACTGCTGGAGAGTAATGACTCACCCTGATCTTAACGTGTGTTCTCTTCCTCAGCCACTTCTCCCGTGGTTTAGAGGGTGTGAACTCTGACACCTCCTTCCCATCCAGCTCCAAAATACTAGAATTCTCATGCCTCATTACCTGCGAGTAAAAAAAGAGATAGAAAAGACATAAATAAAAAGTGTGTGACAGAGAGAGACAGGTGCACACATAAAATTAGGGAAACAAATCAATGTTCTACTAAAAATGATCAATCATGTCATTTCAGTCACAGAGAACACTCACATCATGAACTGAGGTTCCATATTGAAAAATAAAAAAAAATGACAGAGGTAAAGCAGACATGCCCCAACAAACCCAAATGTTGGGCTAATGTGCCACACTAGTGTGATTGCAGGGAGACTCTAGAATGTTCTCCCCTATTCACACTATTCTACAAAGTCCCTCCATCACCTCACACTCATTTACACTGTTCTAGAATGTCCACCCCCCATTCACACAGCGGTAGACTGTTCTTCCCCATTCACCCTGTTCTAAAACGCTCCCCTTGAGTTTACACTGTTTTGCTCTCCTCCCATGCACATTCACACTGTTCTACAATGTTCTGCCCATTCATACTGTTCTAGAATGTTTTCCCTCGTTCACACAGTTGTAGAATGTTCTCTATTCATGCTGTTATAGCATGTCCTCCTTCATTCACCCAATTCTAGAACGTTCTCCCTTTATTAACACAGTCGTAGAATATTCTTCCCCATTCACACTGTTCTAGAATGTTCTACCCATTCACTGTTCTAGAATTGTTTTCCCTCGTTCACAGTTGTAGAATGTTTTCTATTAGTGCTGTTGTAGCATGTCTTGTCATTCATACAGTTCTAGAATGTTCTCCCTTTATTAACACAGTTGTAGACTGTTCTTCCCTATTCACCCGTTTTAAAATGCTCCCCTTCAGTTTACATCGTTCTGCTCTCCTCCCATGCACACAGTTCTAGAATGTTTTCCCTTGTTCACACAGTTGTAGAACGTTTTTCTCCATTCACGCTATTGCAGCACGTCCTCCTTCATTCACACCGTCCTAGAATGTTCTCTCTTTATTGACAATTGTTGAATGTACTTCCCAGGTGACACAACTGTAGAAAGTTCTTTCCACTTCACACAGTTGTAAAAATGTTCCTCTCCATTCACACTGTTTCAGAATGTTTTCCCCCTCATACATCTAGTCATAGAATGTTCTCCCCCAATTCACACAATTGTAGAACGTTCTTCCTCATTTACACCGGTCTACAATGTTTGACCCATGCATGTTTTCCTTTACAACCTTGTTCATTTGGTTTATCAGTTCTTTTTCTAAAAATTCTAAAACTAATGTCAACATTAGAATGCTGGTGTTTTTTTGAGCCATGCTGGCTTCAAGTGTTATGGCTTTAAGTGCCAAGTAGATGTAACAGTACCTGTCTGAGCAAAAAAGACACAACGTCAGTGGACTCCCAGTAGGATGCGTGAAATAGGTGAGGTAGAGCGACAGTGGGAAAGGCAGTCAAGGCGTCTGGGCAGTACAGGGCAAAGTCAATGCGCTTGGTGCCCCACCAACGAGCAGCAACTGCAATGGTGATTAAATGCAAGACTATTAGTATCCAACATTGACAAACAGGAGATTCAGCAAGGCCTTGATCAAACAAAACAAAGGAACCTTAACTACAGTTTTAGGCAGATCAAGTCTTGAAATACTCTGGACAATTTCATTGCGGAGACTCAAGCAGGGCAAAAAAGGTCAGAAGATATGACACAGGTAAATGAGGAGCAGGAAAAAAAACAGAGACTCATCAAGTGGAAACACTGAAACTTTATGAGTTGTGCAAAGATTGCATGGGGAACATTTCATATCTTCTTTCTCCCACAGCCTGATGCCATGGCACAATGTTCAAAGCATAGCTAAGTAAATACATAGAAGTGATGTCTTCAGTTTTCTTGGCAGGTTTGATGACCAGTGCATACAATGCAGCCAAAGAGTGTAATCAGAGAATGGGAGAGACGGGACGACTCAAAGTCATCCGAAGCATCTTCAGAGGCACTTCATCCTCCAGAAAGACACAGAGAAAGCCTGGCGTTCTAGAGATGAAGACTCAGTGAAGCATTGGGGGGGGGGCAGGGGTGGAGACATGGGGTTCAGACAGGGGGAGTGAGGACTAAAGAAAAGACGAGAAGATCAGCCACAGTAGAGGAGTCCAAATCTGGACCTGGAGGGTCAGAGTGCAGCACAGTTTGGGTATTTCACTTCTCAAACACAGCTACTAAACCTGGCAATTTATTGCTGAGTTGAATGCAGGGCCCTTTCATGTAATATTTGTTTGTTTTCAGGAGCTAAAAATTGTAATAACCAATATCATTGGTGAATATAACTGAATATGATCAAAATAGTTTTTGTTAAGAAATGCTTTACTGAATAATATGAATATCAGCTATACATTGTCAAAATTTTTCATCAGTTCTTAGACATTATTTACTGTTATGACATAAAATCTGGATACATGTTACACAGTTTTGTTCTTTTGACCACAATGGTGTTTTGTCTTCAAATTTATCAGTTTAGCCTGTATTGTCAAAAAAGAAGAATGGTAACTGGCGTATCAACATGAAGAAATGACTAAATTCTGAGAATTTGGTGGTTTTCTCTAATCAGTCATATCTGTTCATGACAATATAAAATTAACTACTATATATCAGTGCTTTATAGGCAGGATTTCAACAACAATAAGCTTGTGTCCAATGTCAGTTGGACCCTATATGAATAGGAGTGTGTTTAAGCAGGGAAATCACTGAACAATGCTGGACTCTGACCCCCTCCTGAAATTGCTACAGTGTAGTCTGAAGATGCAGTGGGGGCTAGTGAAAGCTAGCAGGTCAAGGCAGGGCTGCAGGGGATTCAGACCAACAGCGGGCACACAGAATGGCAGAAGGAGGCCCAAGGGCCAGACCCTGGGCCCCTCCTCTACACTCTGGCCAGCAATACCTTGCTCTATGTCCAGCTGCATGCTCAGTGACGGAGGGCTGGAGCTGAGGGGAGGGGCAGGTTCAAACCCCAAAGGGCTGCTGCTGCGCTCGAGGTCATCCGAGCAGCATGTGTCCTCTGACCCTGCCGCTCTGATATTGAGCAACCTGTGGCGGACTTTCGGGGATGGGCTTCTTGAGGACATTTTGTTATAAGGGAGAGCCAGTTGGGACAAAAGGCTAAGCTTTTTGGACTGATTAAGATGGCATGCTTGTGCTACGAGATAAACAAAACAACATAAAGGGAGTATGAATACATTACTGGGCAAACAGTTCATATTGGCCATGAAAAAACTCTAGGGGCAATAACTCAGTATAACAGACTGAATGACTCTGAAGGACAAATGAACTAAACAGTACGTATCATTTCTATAAAGAGCTTAAAATGCATTGCTTTGTACTGCCAACACGACAGACACAAAGACTGAGTCCCAATATTGATGTGACAGCATTGTACTGGAATCCTTCTCTTAAGCTTTTCTGTGCATTCGAATGAAAAGATCATTTTAGTGAATCTATGTGTGGACTTACTGTTGGCAATGTTGGAGGCAGTGTAGCTGTCTGCCAGTCCTGAGACCTGGCTGGCGATGCTGACCTCACTGGCTCTTCGGGGTCCACGGTTTGCAGGGGCTGAGGCAGGAGACGAAGGGTATGAGTTCTCTACGAACATCCCCCCATGAGAGTGGATTACGTCCGCTAGGAGTACAGAGACAAAACTGAATTACAACCAGGTTGCTGCAGTTTCCTCTACCACAAAGCTGAGGATGATTATAGCTTTCTTAATAAAAACAAAAAACAAACAGAAAATCATAAACACAGTGTAGGGGTAGGAAAGTTTTTTCTAAGACTAAGAATGTTCCTGTAAGAAGTTATTTTTAAATGGCCATTTTCCAACCTCTCTTTATCCCTTGATATTAAACAGGCTGCTTTAGTTATTCTGCCTTTAAGACTGATATATGTAAATTACTGGCTGTACTGCATTGTGACTCATTTCGAGAGAAGTTCAGGATGAAACACTCCAAGTACAGTCAGGGCTAACATGCTGTAGGCTAATGGCACAAAAACAATGAACAGCAGTCGAATCAATTAACAAAAAACGCAAGTCTACTTAATCCCATAATTATAATTGTGTTAAAAAGTTTGGGCGCCCCTGGTCAAATTCTATGTTTTGTTGAGTTTCTAAGTGAGATGGATGGATGGATAGATAGATACTTTTTCCCAATATGTTAAATTCAGCAAATAAACAGAACACCATCAATAAACAGACCGTACACTAAACCTTGCAGAAAAACAACATATTTAAGTTTGTTCCTTGTAGGGGAGGTGTTGACTTATTTTCACTTACAAAATAAACTAAACAGGTAATCTGACCAGGGGCAACTGTAGCAATCCTTAATGAGGTACTTTATGGAGCAGCACATTAAAAAGTCAGAGCACACACATACACAGTGAAGGGGTATTTTAGTGAGGCATCAACATGACACAGAAACATACACAGTACACACAAGCTGTCAGGGGATTGAACACACATGAAACAGGAATGGTTACACACACTCAGGTGTGGCTGGCGCGGCCTGCCAGTTGAGCACGGGCACGGGGATGGATGTCTCGCCCAGGCCATCATGGCAGCGGGGTGCGCTGCCTCCACACTCCAGCAAGAGGTGAGGGTTGCTCTGGAGGGTCTCCACTGCGAACCAACCACAGGACGAGGGGACATGAGGACAAGACAGCACAAGGGGGTGAGGGGTGGGTCAAAGAAAGACAGAACAAGGTAGAAAGAAAGACAGACAGAGAAATGGCATGAACAGATGCACAGACCTCCAGCATAAAAGAATAATACAGGCTGGAATGGATAACGTTCAGCTCGACTGAGACAAGGATGAGAACTGTGGTCCCAGCTCTAGTTTTTTATAGATGTCAGTAAGTCATACAGTGTCAGAAACCACAACAGCAAGTTTGTCTGAGATCATCTAACAGCTTGGCGTGCTGGCTATAAGCTTATATTACTTTATAGCTACATTAGTCTTGTAACTCCAAAACTTGGCTGATAAACTATGCTTGGGGAATTTTGTGTAAACAATCGAGCCCTAGTATGGGTGGTGCTGCTTCAAGAGCAGGGCTGGGCACCTAGCATGTACAGTACACACAGCTTTAAAATAAACAATGTTAAATACATAACAAATGTGACACGTCATGAATGTTGTGTAGCATTTCTAAACGGCAGTGCGAATCTTACCCAGCAGTGCTGAGTGTCCGTCTCCCAAAGGGAAACGCTGGTAGCGGGGCACACTGAAGGGGGCCAGCAGGTGGAACTTTTTCTCCAAAAGGGGCTCCAGACGTGAGGCTGATGGGTCTGCAGGGTGGAACAGGTTATACACCTGCTGGCAGGCTGGACGAAGGTGAGCCACTGGGGAAGAGGAGGAGGCCTGTTAGAACATACTAATACAGGTAATTTGCATTATCAGTTTGCTGCTGTAAACTGTATTCAGTACACCGGATAACTGAAAAGTGAGTCTTTAGGTACATAGTTCTGGCTTCTGAGATGGCTGCTAACTGCTTTACCTATGTGTCATACCTGTGTTCATTTCTATAGCAAACAGTATGTTATACAGTGTTAAACAGCATAAGCAAGTCTATTTGTGATGACTATGAAACAATTAAACATGCAAACTTTGGACACCAAACACCTGGCTGATTGACTAGACTTGAAGTAAGGGGAAAACTTTTTCACCATTTGCTTTGTTGCCAAACTAACACAAATTAGTTTCTACTGACTAGATCCTTAGCTTAAAGAATAGAAGCAGCAAATTACATCAGAGCATGAACAAATACAACTGGATTTTTAAACTTACTCTTAAAACTTAGTGTAAGTAATGCATTTAAAAAAGTAAATAACATACATAATTGAGTTGTACTGATAAGCGTTCACATTTTCTCATGTCATCTGGCAGATGTTAGAGGGTTGTTTTTAATTCACAGCTGACTCCTCACCCTATCTACATGATAACCGCACTGCAAAACAATGAATGCAGTGCTACAAACCTACCTTTTATCTGAGAACTGAGATGTAAGCAGCTTTGTAAAATTACTATTTAAGCTTTTTTTTATAAGATTTGAATGCTTGTTTTCTGAGGACAAAGCAAATTAGAAACAAAGAGCATTAAAATAAGAGGCGATTACAAGAGGGTTTGGATAATCCACAGCATGGTGGTTAAAATGGTGTTTATTTTGATAAATATTTCTACTATAAGCATAACATAAACCTGACTCCTGGATCTCTTCCTGGCACACATTTAACATTATAGCTCGTGCTGATTGGCACATTATCCCTTTGCATTAATGTGTATATGGATTAAGAACAAGTGTCACTATTGAAGTTGCCAGCAAAACTTGTTCCCATTCACTGTGTTCAATCCTAGAATAACCGACTGAATGATGCTTTAAAAAGTCTTAGATCGATAACGGTTCTTGTTGGAATTGTCCTATTCATTTCTTCCGATAACGACAGGATTCTTAAGAACCTCCAACCAGAATTCATACAATGTTTTTATCAGGTGCACTGCTTAGGATGACTCAGCAAAAGCAAAACTGAAGTGCCCCAGCATCTGAAAAGCCCCAAAAGAAGTCATGTTTAGACCAGTGTTGTCAACTCACCATCTAGAGAAGGAACCACAGTTTTCCTCAGAGCCAGGACCAGGCCAAGCGGAGAGCCGAATAGGAAGAAATCGGACACCTCAAAATCAAACTTGCCCAAAGCACCACCACCTTCCAGCATAGTGCTGTTACTGGACCTCCGAGAGCCAGGATCATTCCTCAGTACACTGGAGTGCAAACTGGACCCCAAACACAAGATTAGAAAATTTGTAGAAATGCAACAAGATCAACTCTTTACAAACCTGAAACCTCACATTTTAAAAATAAATTTGAGGGAACACAGTTCACACACCACATTTATATACACTACAGGTCAAAAGCATGGAAGCAATCAGCAATCTTTCTGACTTGACATTTTAAACATAATTTAAAAAATTGAGAGAACAGTGACTCTCACACATTATAACATTTACTGTCAGACATAAACTACAAGTCAAAAGCATGAAAGCAAAATTAAGTTAAAGTTTCCAAAATATTTTACAATAAACTAAAAAAACAACATATATTTACATGAAGTTTAGTTTTTCCAAACAAAGAGTACAGGCTATACTCTACTTACTCTAAACTAACAGGAAAAGCCTTTATGGTCTTTGTTAATAAGAGTCCTTTACACTGCCCTGTGGGGCTGCAACAAACAATTACTTCCACAATTGTTAATCTATTGACTGGTTTTTAGCGTTCCAGTTTCAGTAAGAAATAAATAATGCCACAAGTAACCTGAGACCCAAAATTCATCATCAAAATATTAAATTTCCTTTTATTTACAGTACTGTTACATTAATTTCTACCTCTATTATTAGTGGCATTTTGATGGAAGAGACAGTACAGTTGTGAAAGTGAAATGGTTCATAGAGGGTCAGTGCTTTAATGTCAAGTGTTCAATGCCTTCCATTCAGATTTAGAAACATGCTTTTCAAACTATAGTAAACCTCAGCCTTCTTACCTCACATCACTAACCAATTTAACCAACTGAACTGGCTGATCTGATCAGCATTATTAATATTAGTTGGTGGGTGGTTCATTCCAGTCCAATTTAATCCCTGAGTAAGTAGTCTTATCTGCTTTGACTGTGATTTGGGTATGCCTAATATTTTCTGTTTAAAAAATGTTAAACTTTAAGAGGAAAAACTGAGGGAAAAAATCATGTTGTGCTTTCTGAACACAACAACAGAAAACATGGTGCTTTTGTTTTGTTCACCGTCATGCTTCTGTAAAATGCTGCCTCCGCTTTGCATGTGACATTTCGTGGCTTTTGTTGTCTTGAGTTTATCTACCTTTGCAGCCACCATCATTCAAAATTTGTCTGTGCCACAAATGATTTCTTATGATGGAACGAAAAGACACAAGCTATACCGCCTTAAGACCTCTGGTATGGCGTGCACTGAAATCTGGGGGGAATTATCATCATAAGGTGCCTTTTTAAAGGTAAATGGCTCATTGATTATAAAAAAAATCCTTATTAACAATTTTTGATTATCAATGTACTTTGTCGACTAATCACCGCAGCCTGTACTTACCTGTTTTTAATTCTTTTATTACTTCTAATTTAACACAGCTGATTCAGTTAATCACATATTTAGGAGCTTTTAATGAAGGCATCAGGTTTATTTGATTAGGGATACAATACAAGCCTAACATTTTGACCTGTAGTGCAATTGCATCAGCCTCTGTCTGACAAATCTGCTGCCTTATATGACTGACCTGGACAGAAAGGCCTGATGCTGCTTGATGGTGTCCAGCTCGTAGGTGGAGGAGTCGCTGCGCTTGCGTGGAAGCTGCTTCTTGGGGTCATCAGCGCCGCTGGAGCGTGGAATGTCGATGTTGCTGCGGCTTAGGTGACGGCTGCTTTCCAGAGACAGGCCCGACCCCGAGGCTGAGCAGTGGCTGCTGTTGATGATGATGCCTGGTGAAAGCAGGTCATTGTCCTGCAATGCATGATGCATGCAGATAAATAGTCTGGCCACAGAGTTTTCGATGAAATTCAAATGTACAAAAAGCTAAGTTTGCTCTGCCCTGCTTTAACTGGCTGCCGTCATATGCTTGTGAGATGTACATAAACATGTACAGAATGCAACCAATTGTTACAGATATAGGCAAATGTCTGTGGCCAAACTGGTGACCTACATGGGGGAGAAAATAGGGTTCCTCATGGGGGGTTATTCTATGAACAGTAAATTAATGTAATAAGAATTTATATGCTATAAATATAATAGGGAAGCCTGCACAATAGCCTGAACAAAAAAATCACCTGATGAGCTGGATCAGGTGGTTTGGGGAGAAAATAGGTGAAAATTTGTGTGGCAGGGGTTCTGCAAGATCAGAGATGGGTCAGTTGATTATAATAGAGAGAAAGGGGCCACTATAACGTGGTGAATATTAAGGCCCATGGTTGTATTTTTGTCAGCATTTACCAAAATTACCTCAAATGTGTGTATGTACCTTTTATTTGTTTGTTGTTGTTTTTTAATCACTAAATATGTTAGGAATTATAAAGAAAATAAATACAGAACTTTGGAAGATAACAGCTAAATTACTTGGAAGATAACAGCTAAATTTGCTCTAAAACACAGAGCAAAATGAGGTAGGTATGTTGTGTGATTTTGGCATGCTGTCCAATTCAATGTCCTATTTGTTTTCACCACAAGTGATGCTGTTACACAGTTTAGAATGTGATGTGTAGGGAGATGTAGATGTGCAGAGAGACATAGGCATATACAGAGTGAGACACAGGCATACAATTTTTGTAATTTTGCAACTGCAGATCTCTGAGGGTTAAAAAACTGTTACTACCTTTGATGAAAGGGTTAAAGTAAGCAACAAGGCAGAAACTGCAGCATCAAAACTCTTTCTGAAACTTCCACTTAAAGGAACATTAATGTGCAACTTTCAGGTTGAGAACCTGTGTTTATGATAATTCTGATCACACATGAAGGCAGCATAAGACTGGCTAACTATGCAAACACTCACCTGTACACTGACTATACTCCCCCTCCTGCTGCTGTTCTGGCTCTCTGAGACAGTGACGTTGCTGCTGCAGAGGGCATCAAACCCCAGGATTCCTCCAACACAGTCCCCTATTAGACACACCTGCCCAAACAGCACACAAACAACACATGAGTAAGCAATACGCATAGCTCTTCTTCAGAGCTCTCCTCATTCAGAATGCTAGAATAAACATAATGACAGCCACAAGTCACGTTAAATTAATCCTTGATTACAAACTACACGCCACTGACCTGGCCAGAGAATGTGGCCCCTTCCAACGATTTGATGAAATCTCCATAGACCTGATTGGCTCGCACTATCACTGCTGCCACAGCATCCTGGTACTGGGGAGCAGACGTAGCCAACAGGGGCAGTGCAGCCAGAGGGATGTGGTCCTGGCTATTAGAGAGGCAGCCCGCATCATAGCTGTATGGACTCAAACTGAAGAGAAATTAAAAAAAAAAAAACTTATGAAGACACCACTAATCAACAACACACTATAGCAAAGGACCAGTTACTGACTGAAGTCTGAAAAAACATTAGAATAAATGCAAAGGTGACTGAAAAATAAGCCTAAAAGGATATTAGGCCTAAAAGGCCTTATGGATAAAACTGAAAGATTGGTGATAAGACAGATTTTAATGGACTGTTATTGGCTACACCACACTGTATTTACGTCTGTCATAGGGATGAGGGCTCCTCCTATTATCACTTAGTCAGTTGGTTGGTATTCTAATAGACCTAACACACATACTAGGTCTGTTAAATGATTAAAATATTTAATTTCGTGTCTCATGTGTCTTATAGTTAAATTTGACCTTAAAGAAAGACTTTTTCCATTAAAAAAGCAGTGCATTTTGTTGATTTATCCATAGGCTTCTGGCAAACACTGTCCAGTGTAGTCTGCAGAAGGTGTTGCTTTAAAAGCTATTCAAAGGCTATATTTGAACGAGAGAGCTACAATAGCAGGATCGATCACAGCAACATACAGTGAGCAGCTGCGCTTCAGCCTGCACAACTACTGATAGTCCAAACTAGGAAAATGCACTAAAGACATTATATAAATTAGTGCCATTAATATTTTATAGTTTTAAAATACACACTAATTCTTTTTGTAGGAATACTTTCATAGGAGAATTCCTCAACCCCTGTCCTCTCTGCATGCTAAGCCTTCAAAGCCAGTGGTCAATGCTTGTCAAAGCATGGTTAAACAAGTGGCATTTGTTAGAGTAAAAACACGAGCTGAGAAGAAGAAAAATATGGAGACACATGAAATTGGCATATTCAAGACATACAATTACATTTTTCAAGTGTGAAAACATCCTCAGTCCCATTATGCACAAACTAAATTAAGTTGATGTTTCACGTAGCAGTAGTTAGCACTCTAGCACATCTTACTACACTTACACATTTAGACTGGATAGCTGTTACTAAATTTTGTGTCCCAAAGTATACTTCAAATGTATTGTACTCATCTATGAAAATATAAATACTGGATATTACTTAGTATAGACAGATACACAATGTTAAATGACTTGGATTGAGTCAAAGAAACTTAACTGGGACATTCCTATTGTGACTGTGTGTGCAAGTACTCCTATTCAGATATTAAATCAGAGCTGTCGTACAGCTGAGCTAACTCACTTTGACACGAGGGAGAACGCCTCCACACACACAGCGGGGCACGGCACCAGACGGATGGCGATGTGGCCCAGCGCTGCTGGGTAGTGGACACGCATCACTGTCTCAAATGCCGAGGTGATGGTGTTCACATCACCCTGCTTACTGCTCTGGTCACCTCCCCCCGTGTCCAGGATGTTCCCTCCGTGCAGGACCAGGAGCAGCACATGGATCTTGGAGGCCTGCAGGCCCTGTTGAGCGGAGCAGTCCTGAAGCAGAGAAAGTGACTCATCTTCAGGGAGGCACAGAGCAAATTTTGAGCAGCACAACAAAGTGAACTCACGAAGAACTATTGACAGTACTATAACACATTTTCTAGAAAATGTAAGAGAATCTTATAAAATGCCCACTTGTGTTTTCCACTGTCTTAATGCTCCTGAATTGAACCCATTGGTCAATTTCATCCATTTATGAGCTGAATCAGATACACTAGAGTGGTGAAGATAAGAGATTATGCAGTGTTGGGGCCATTTAGGTCTAGGATTGAACTTTCAGTTTGCATAATGTAATCTCAAGGCACATTCACAGACACATTTTCTAACCTAATGGGAAGAAGTAGGCTTGGGCGATTTGACAATATTATCGTCGCAATGTCAACAGTCCTCAGACACAATGTGGGTTATTCTCAAGAAACAACCATATCCACAAATATTTGAGTGTCATAATTATATGAGTTCTATGAATTAGATATATGTCATATAATAATCATATAAATTTAGCAGATCAATTGGGGCTCTATAGTTCTCATTATAGATATTTGGAAAGAAATGTTAATGTGGTACCAGTAAAAACAAATATCTTGATGGCAGTCAATATCAGTGTGTTGCAGTTTTATCTCATTTCCGCAAAAAAACTATATTTTGTGGTATAAAATTTAGCATTGTGGTAATGACAATTAAACAATCTATTTAAAAATAATTAAATCAATCATTCGGATTATGTTTGAATATTCACCCAGACATAATTGCTTTTACATTATTAATTACATTATTAAATGCAAATTCAAATTAAACCTATAGTCTGCACATTTTTTTGATGAATGTCCATTTTTTCCCCAAATGTAAACGATAATATTGTCAGGATATTTAAAAAGACAAATGATTTGCAGAAATGAACAGCACCCAAGTCTAGGATGAAGTGAGTCGGGAATAAACTATCACGTGCAGTGTTTATGAAACCACATGAAAATGCACCCAGATATAAAAGTTCTAATAAACAGCTTGCTAAAGCAGAGCTACATCTCTTTGGGCCTCTACAGGATTGGATAGGGCTTTGCTGCTACTCACAACTGGCCGCCTGGACACCCGGCGCTTGCGTCTAGTGGAGCGGCACTTTGATCTGGGTCTCTGAACGCCAGGACAAAAGAGCACTGAGAACATCCTGATGGTCCCTCACCCTTAGCTCTACACTTCCCTTCCTCTACAAGTCCCTCAGAAACACTCAGCTGCATGAGAACTTGGCCTTGACTCTACTCGCATTGCATAGCAGCTTCAGCCCTTTGCATTTTTCTGGTTTCTTTGCTTAAAGGGCAGCTAGGAAAAGGCTTAAAAGGGAAGAAGCTGACCATGTTGGACCTGGCCTTGTGCAGCATGCTCTCAAAGACACATAGAGAGTTTTTATTTTCAAGCTTGCACTTACAGACGACAGAAACTATAAACAGCTGGAGCCAATGTTCAAGCTGTCAAGTTTCAAATGCTGATTTTAATCAAAATTGAATGGGAATTTAGACAAATAGAGATTCCATGCTCCCACTAATAATTTCAGCTGCATAATATAACTCTAGACAGAAAACATCACAGTGACTTGCTAAATGTGCATATATTGTACATACAGTACAGTGTAAAAATTCGAGACCACTCTTCATTTAATTTCCAGTTAAAATGCCCATTAAGTATAAGTTATCAGGAAAGCATATACATATATTTATACATAGAATGCACAAAGGCCTCCAAAAGTAAATACAATATGAAATGTTTTGGTATTTATTGTGTCTACCTTTGCCTTTATTATAGCTTCCATTCTATTCAGGAGACTTGCTTTCAGTTTTAAAAATAAATCTGCAGGAATGTTTTTCAGTCTTAGAAGTTGATTGCTTTTTCTGCTTCACACAATCCAAGTAATCCCAAACACATTTAGTGATGTTGAGGGCTGGATGTTGAGGGGTGGTCAGTCCATTGTTCTGAGACCACCAGCAGCTTTATTGTTTGATTCACAGATTCTCTTGTGTCTATTTGCTTTTCTCAGCAATGGCTTCTTGTTAGCTACACATTCTTTTACACTTCTCACAGTGGAAGGATGGACAAAAACACATTTTTTTCTGATCTGAATGAAGAGTGGAGCTTAATTTTTTCCTCTCAAAGATGAAAGCGTTGAGTACTGTTTTTCTGATGGTGGCAATTTTGGTAAGTTTCGGAAACGCCTGTTTTTTCAGTAATTTTCTTTTGACTTTCCTCTTTCTTATGCAAGTCTTGTCTTTTATTTAATTTTCTCTATCTCCTGAAAAAATGATAGTTTGTGCTTATGGTCATTCTGACTGGAAATGAAATCAATGATTCTCTTTGAACATTTCAAGAGCTGTACTGTGGACAAAGTCATTCACTCAGGTATATGACATTGAAAGTATAGGTATATACATACCTCATTAAGTCGTTCCACATTGCCAGTCTCAGAATACTCAACCCCAGATTCATGGTACAAGTCACCTAAAGGCATTTGAAATCAATTAAGCCAATGTAGGAACATATAGAACAAATAAAAGCTGCAAATAGAGATTTTTTTTCAAAAATTACCCATTTTTATTAACACTGAAAATATAACAAGTATCCGTTAGTGTTGGCCAAAATATTTCTGTCATCTAATTTCATTAATGATGTCAGGACAGTGCAAAAAAGTTGCACTTAGTATTGTAACTTTCAATTACATGAGCTCTCAAGAGCATAAATTCTACAAAGCTTCCAAGCCTCCTGCATTTACTGACTGTATTATTAACTTACTGTAATTTCAGCTAAAAATAAATACTACTAGCTCACATGAGATTCTGTGTACTACCCTCACTGTAGGGTAAACGAAAATTGTCCTAAGGGAGACAGGTGGATGATGGTTTGCAGTCACAGCATCAGGACATCATTTCACACTAAGGTGATATAAAAAGACTTTGAAGTGAGGCTGTAATAATGCAATGCGTACTCTGAGACTCATCCGCCTCCGCCGTCTCAATTTTGTCCATCAGGTCATTTGAGCTCCATTTGGTGATCTCCTTGGAAAATATCTCCTCACTGTCAGAGAGGTCCTCTGTTGAAATCAAAGAAGAAGAAACACTCTATGAGAAGTTTGCAGGATCACCTGATCAACTAGCAAACCATTAACGTAAAGCTCTAGACCCTGTCTTCTAATTAGATCCAGTGGACGTTACCATGAGCGTCGAAGAACTCATCGTCTGTGCTGTCGTCCGAGTCGCGGGCGATGCTCTGCATGCGCCATTCGGAAATACTGTGGCGTGAGGGGCTTCCTATTCCGTCACAAAAAGGAAAACAAATACATTTCTTTTCACAAACTGACAATGCATACTACAAATGAGGGGTTCTTAACTAAAGTTCTGGGGACTCACCACGCTGCACTGTTTAAAGCTATGTGGTTTATGTGTATGAAGGGTAATCATGCTCTAATGGGCACATAATATACACGTACAAAGAATGTTCTGTGAATAACCTTCCAATGTCCAGATATACAATTTTTAAGCCACATTTCTATGAGAGATGATTATCTGATTAACCGTTAACTGACAAATATATAAATGTTCAACAAATGCTTTCGGTTCATTTCATTTGTGCTAAATAATTTTCTGTCACCTCTGACTCTCAAATTCTGCCACTTAATTAAGCCTCAGAGACATTAATAAAAGGATACAGCAGAGGTCAAACCAGCCTAAATGTAGTTTACACAATTTTTGAGTAGCTACAGATCACACTGATCAATGCCCAGATATGTTGGAGTCAAAAACTGACCCCACTCATGAGGATACATTGGTATTTCTTAACCTAAATAACTAGGATATTTAGCCACATTATACAGTTCTGAGGTAAGCTACAACTGCCTCTTTATTTAAACATAATGCTGCTTCTGTTGAGTGTAGCTTTAAGCTATAGCCTTAAAAGCTTAAAAGCTGTGAGCTACTGACTTTATCTTGATTGTTGTTTAAATTATGCATGTGAATTTTAAGCAAGGCTTTGTAGGCCATGTATGTTTTAACTTGGGCTGATAATATGTGGCAATTGTAAGTAGACTACATTACGTTTCACTCATATCCGTTGTTAGGCTGCATTTTTTATTCAATAAAACCTAAAGCCTTGTTTATATAAAACACAGTGCTGTGTTTCAAGTCAAGTCAAGAGGCTTTTATTGTCATTCCATCTATGAACAAGTACACAGTGGAGCGAAACTATGTTCCTCCAGGACCATAGTGCAACATGGAACAAAGTAATACAGTACAGACGAAGTGCAAACGTGCAGACGCAAGTGTGCAAAACATGAAACTAGAAACAGCGTTCAATGCAATGCACAAGCACTTAAATTATTTCTGCCATAAAATCAAAAATAAACTGGCCGATTAATCACATACTGTGAGAGAAATTCACACGATGCCTGTCACATTTATTACAAGTGCAAGTAACGCTTATTTTATGTTTGATGTTTCCATGAGTTATGTTTACAACTTTAGGTTTGTCAGTTAATATTGATTTACCAATTAATAACAGTCAGTCATCGGTCAAATGAATTTGCCAGTCAATTTTGAATTTTAGAAGTTGGCCCTAATTTTTATCTTGCTTTTTTATATTCAAACTTGGCTGGATGTTTCATATAACATTCATCTTTAGTATCATATAAATATTTTTAAATATTTTACATTGTGCTCCCTCTGACTTTACATTTTCCATACCTTATCATAACTGATCCATCTAAAAAAGGGCTTGATAATTACCCGATGAGTTGGATAAATTGTGCAGGGTCAGAGAACAGTTGAAACTGTACAGAGCAGCAGGTCTCCAGAACTGTGACGCACAAATTGTTAGAAAAGTTGTTGGCACAACAGCATTCAATAATGCACAAGCACTTAAGTTAGTTATGCCATAAAATAAAAAATAAACTGTCTGATTAATCACACACTGTGAGAGAAAATCCCAAGATGCCGGCCCTATTCATTACAAGTGCAAGTAACGCTTGCTTTATTTGTTAGCTATGTAGCTAATTCTGTTTTTAGCATGCATGCTAGCAGAATTTTTTTTTTTTTGGCTGATATTTTCACTCTCATTTTCAGCTCTGCTCGACTATGTACGATTCTGTGTTACTGAGACATTCGTGTGAAAATGTGTTTGCAGACCCAGCAGTGTAGTTCACCAATTCGACAGTACTACCAGTCTATTAAACACATCGAGTAAACAAGATGGTTAATAAAGCAATTTTGCCACCTCGACAGAAGCATATAATAAATAAGAAAAGACAATTAATTTCTTAAATCACAGTTATATGACTATTAATTGCTATCTAAAATTTACTCATAACACTCCATTTGGAATGTGCCTCTGAATATTAATTGCTATCTAAAATTTCATGACTGTGACAGCTCTAATCCCTACTAGTAATGCTTATCTTAACAACATAATGCTTATCTTAAAAAAATTCTCACATTTGTGGGTGGGTTTCTTTTGTTGCTTGCACAGCCAGTTTTTCTTTTTTACTCATAACACTCCATTTGGAATGTGCCTCTGAATATTAATTGCTATCTAAAATTTCATGACTGTGACAGCTCTAATCCCTACTAGTAAGTACACAATGCCCTCACATGCAAAAGTTTATGTGGCCCTGATGAAACTGCACGTTTTGTTGATTAGAAAAGATAAAAGTCACATATCATCTACAGAGAACACACATCTGCACATTTTAATGCACACTTACTGTTTATTTACTAAACTTACTTACTATACTGGGAAAAACTAAACCATTAAATGGGGCTTGAGCAAAAGTTACGGCACATTTTAAGTTTTATTCCAACATGTTAAATTCTGCAAATAAATAGAAATTGTCCTCTAAAATGCGCTAAAATGTCTCATTTAAGTTAAGGACGTTAACTTTCACTGAGCATATTAACAAAACACTGCAATTTGACTGGCAGCATTCAAACGTCTGTACACGACTGCATATACCAAAGCCAGCACAGCATCTACCTCCTCTTTTTGAAGACCTGGAAGATCTGGAGGAGGTGGACCACTGCTTGGTCAGTTCCCCTCGAGTCTGCAGGGTGTCTCCCAGGCTCCGGGCCGGACCCTCCGTCTCCATGGCACTGATGGCCTCCTTGGCATCCTGCTCTTTATCCGGACTAGCAGCAACACCGTTGCTTTCGCCGCCCTCCTCGTTGCAGCTGAACTGAGCCATCTTCTTAGCCAGAGCCAGCTGGGTCTCCAGCTCCAGCTGCCGGATGTCCTCCATAGTCAGGCCGTACCACTCATCCTGCCAGCACCAGGCCTGCCGGTGCGCACGTACCATCACTTTCCTTAGACCTGACAGATGTAAAAAAAAATAATACTTCAACCTGAAGGGACATCTTTGCTAGGAACAGAAGGCAAAAGCATCCATGTGATACTATGCAAATGAAATCATATTTCCTAGCACCTACTAACTCTCTTTTAGAGTTAACTAGACTTTTGAGTGATGTATTGCTTTAATCATCAAAATAATACAGTGAGAAATACAGAAGGCAACAGGTTTACTGATGAATTTTATCTGTGAAATCATCTTAAATCTCATTGAGGCCTTTAATATTTCTCATTTTAAGAATATTATACCATATTTAACTTATTCCTATGTTGTACTTGTCTAATTTGGCTTGTTTCAAGCAATATTTTTTGAAGCAAGCAAAAATATTTGCCTTATGTCTTGAAATATCTGCCAACAGAATAAGACATTTTCTTCAGATAAAGGCCCACTCCCATTTCTTATTTTAACCCCTACCCCTTGTTTTCGAGTGTCACCTTGCCCCTTGGAACTGACTTACAAGGGGAGGTGGTTGAAATCTTCACTATAAAATGATATAACCCTCAAATTAAAGAGAACATTATTTCATTAACAGGCTACTAGCTGTGCTCTGAAGGCCCCACCACCCCTAATTCTTCGGTGATATGAAGCTATTCACCAGCTTCTCGTTTGAATTTTCCTGTTCCACCTTAAATGGTGCAGCAGTTCTGACGCCTGATACAAAAGAATATAACAGCTGCACAGTTACCCGATTTTCTCCCCAATTTAGTCGTTTCCAATCCCACCCGCTAGTTAGGACTCCCCCAATCACACGATGCTATCAACGCTAGGAGGGTGAAGGCTAACACAGGCTTCCTCTGAGACCTGTGAAACCAACCACCGCTTCTTTTCGAACTGCCGCTCAAGCAACGTCAGTGGACAGCTGAACGCGCTCGGAGGAAAGCGCCAACCGCCAGATCTGTTACGTCAGCTAACAGACGCCTGCGCTGACTAGCATCGCGTTGAGTGATGGGGGGAGAAGGAGGGGCCATCCTACCCACCCAGAGAGAGCGAGGCCAATTGTGCTCTCCTGGACTCCCGGCTACGGATGGCTGTAGCATCACCAGGGATCGAACTCGCGATCCCCTGATGATAGGGCCAACGCTTAGACGGTTGCGCCACTCGGGAGCCCGACTGCTGCACAGTTTAAGGTGGAATTGGAAATTTAGCAAGTAAGCTACTGAGACAGCATATTACTAGCAATTTTATGCTTCTTATGAAGAAAAGGACCATAACACGTTGAAACAATAAACTGAGACAACATAATGCTCATCTTAATTTTTAACAGAGAAAATTCTCACATTTGTGGGTGGGTTTCTTTTGTCGCTTACACAGCCAGTTTTTCTTTTTTACTCATAACACTCCATTTGGAATGTGCCTCTGAAAAAAGGCCATGTAGCTCTAAAACTTCACCCTATCCCATCATCTCCAAAAATCTGAACACCCTACCCCTATGCGTGAATGTACAAAATGGAGAGGTAAAGGCAAGGGATGAAATGGGATTGGGCCAAAATGACTTAAAACAAGTAAAAACATCTAGAAATAGGTTGAATAATCTTATATTATTCTTACAACAATCTTAAAATGAGAAATAGTAGATATATTGACTCGATTTTTAGAGGCTGTCTCTTGGTAAGATTTCAATTTTTGCAGTTTTAATAAAGTGAAATCTAAAGTAAAATGCGTACCAAGATTTCTGTGTATTTTTTATGTATTGTTTAGTCATGAAAATGTAGCATTAATTACTAAATGTTTGTGTTGAAGCAGTGATTAAAAATGCTAATAAGACATGCAAAATTAGAGAAGGGGACCTGAACTCAAGAAAAACTGTTTTCTCTCCAAAACTCCAAACGAGTATGTACTGGGCTGAGACAGCAGATGAAGATACTGAAACCCAGTGAGAGACAGGAAAAGTTTTAAAAATGAGAGATGGCACTGGACTTCTCATAAATTAACGGTAAGGGAAAGTCAGTAAACAAGAAGATATCGAACTAATGAAAAAGATTAAGGAGCAGACAACAGCACAGGGAAGGAAATTAATCCTGCCCTGATGTTGGCTGGGGAAGGTAGATGACTCTCTGCCTGTCCCTTCCCCCTGAGCCCTGATTTGTGGCAGAGCAATACTACATCAATCTAGTTTTCATTAAGAGTGAGTTAATGATTAAGGCAACTGAGCCAGAGCTGTCCCAATAAACAGCTTTTCCTCCACACAGTGCTTCACACCTGCTGTCCACCCACTTGTCGAGATAACAGGGCTCATCTGAGCCAGACATCATGCACACACACCCACCCACACAACACTGCACAAGAAAGTGAGATGTGAACAGCTGGGCTGCTGTAGAAATATTAGCTGAGCAAACGTCCTCCACTCTCAGACACTCTCATAAGGCTCTTGAGGATTCCCTGTGGAAAGTTCCAGAAGCTCATACGCACCCACATCATGAATGAAGCGCTCGATCTTGGACTGCATCCCCCAGTAACGGAACTCCACTTTGCACAGCTTATAGGCGCACATGACGGGCATCTTCCCAGGGCTGGTGTTGATCTCCTCAATCCAGTCGTCTGATAAGGGTCCCCGCTGGGTCTTCATTGACTTGTACAGCTTAGGGTCCTCCTCAGCCAGGTACTCATGAGGGGCCATGAAATCTTTCACAATGTCTATAGGGTCTATGAGGGGGGACACATTTAGTCATCAGAATGCACTTGTGTCACAACACTGCAATGCAAGATCACATTTCAATTATTTTGCTTCAAGTATTTCAAATGAGAGCATAAAATAAAAACTAAATTCAGAAAACTGACTCTACTAAATTTCACTAAATGATTTCAGGACTGCAACTGCTAAAAACAATAATAATAAAAAAAGAGTTCTGAACTTCACAATAATTTAAGCATAGTAAAGACTCACGTGTTTGTTTTTCCAGCAGAGTAAGTTTTTATGTATCTTTCAAAATCTGCAGATAAATCTCAGTGTGTGACTGTGGGCATCACGTACTCGCACCACAAATCAACAATTTGACTGGTCCAAGAATGAGAGAGCAGTGATTTGATGAGTCAGTTAGCAAATGTATGGGATCTTTTACCAAGGTGGTTCAAAGTCAGAGTTCAAACTCCATTTCATAACAGACTTGGACTAAACATACTTTTGCTTGGATTAAAACTCTCTGTGTTTTGGTGTAACATGAAAATGGGGAACGGCATTTTTTGAAAAGTTATTGTTGAAAAATTAAACTCACGATAAATCTAAAATCAGGTCATGAAATGTATTGCAGCTAAAATTAGTGGAATACTGAATAAAAACATGTAAGATTACCATTTGTAGTCCTGTTTATAACATTCTATCTACATTGTTCTACAAGTTTTTTTTTTTTTGTGTTGGAACCAGTTCAGAGTGTATTTCTTTGTAGTGAGTAGTATTTCCAACTGCAAGAGAGACTAGCTTCAACAATTATAAGTTATATAATGTACACTATATTGCCAAAAGTATTCACTCACCCATCCAAATCACTGAATTCAAGTGTTTCAATCACTTCCAACCACTTCCATGGCCACAGATGTATAAAACCAAGCACCTAGGCATGCAGACTGCTTCTACAAACATTTGTGAAAGAATGGGTCGCTCTCAGGAGCTCAGTGAATTCCAGCGTGGTACCATTATAGGATGCCACCTGTGCAACAAGTCCAGTTGTGAAATTTCCTTGCTACTAAATATTCCACAGTCAACTGTCAGTGGTATTATAACAAAGTGGAAGCGATTGGGAACGACAGCAACTTCATGGCCTACCAACAATACAGACCTCCAAACTTCATGTGGCCTTCAGATTAGCTCAAGAACAGTGCGTAGAGAGCTTCATGGAATGGCCGAGCAGCTGCATTCAAGCCTTACATCACCAAGCGCAATGCAAAGCGCCGAATGCAGTGGTGTAAAGCGCCGCCACTGGACTGGGTTTGGCAGTTGCCAGGAGAACGGTACTTGTCTGACTGCATTGTGCCAAGTGTAAAGTTTGGTGGAGGGGGGGATTATGGTGTGGGGTTGTTTTCAGGAGCTGGGCTCGGCCCCTTGGTTCCAGTTTTAGGAGCTCTTAATGCTTCAGAGATTTTGGACAATTTCATGCTCCCAACAGTTTGGGGATGGCCCCTTCCTGTTCCAACATGACTGCGCACCAGTGCACAAAGCAAGGTCCATAAAGACATGGATGAGCGAGTTTGGTGTGGAAGAACTTGACTGGCCTGCAACTGAGTCCTGACCTCAAACCGATAGAACCCCTTTGGGATAAATTAGAGCGGAGACTGTGAGCCAGGCCTTCTCGTCCAACCTCAGTGTCTGACCTCACAAATGCGCTTCTGGAAGAATGGTCAGAAATTCCCATAAACACACTCCTATACCTTGTGGAAAGCCTTCCCAGAAGAGTCGAAGCTGTTATAGCTGCAAAGGGTGGGCAAACATCATATTAAACCCTATGGATTAAGAATGGGATGTCACTCAAGTTCACATGCGTGTAATGGCAGAGGAGCGAATACTTTTGGCAATATAGTGTATATTAAATATTATAAATAAGACTGCAAAAGGTATTTTATGTTTTTTCAATATTTCATAAATTTTATGAACAACAAAAAATGTATAATTACACGAGTTATAATAGTGTTGGAATCAGTTTAGAGTTTATTTCTTTGTGTATATAATTTCTTATTTTCCATGCAATTTTGTACAATGGTTATAATTTATTGTTGCACTGGTACTTTTACTCAACTTCCAGTAAGTAGTTTTTTCAACTGTGAGACTGGTAACTATGTAAGAAGCCCGTGGAATTGCTTTGCTTATTTGACAAGTAAAGTAAAGAGCTTATAATGCCCTGCATGTACCTCTCCATCACAAATGGATTTAAATAAATAGATTTTAGGCCAAAACTTTATCTCCAAACTGTCATTAAAAAAACACTCTCAGACATCAGCAACGAGATGAAACCATTTCGTGTAAGGGCTTTCTCTAAAAGAGCTTTGAGAGGCATTAAATGCTTCAGACATCTGGTTCCCATCACTGCTGCACTGAACAACAGTAAACAGAATTCCGCATTTCATATCAGACCACTCTGAATGACTTTGTTGACATCTTAACTGTTTAATTATGCAGACATTTTGGAGAAATCAGTGGAATTCTCTTTTAATATTGTATCACAGGAACAAAGCATTAGTCTTCCACTGTTCTATGCTTACTCCATAGAGCTTTTATTATGTTATCACTCCTCCTTGCAAGAGAGTGATAAAGTGCTGTGTCTGAGGCAGAACCGGTCTGCCGGCGGATCAGAGAGTTGGCAGGCCGCCACTAGGTGTCCCCCCTGCACGCTGACAAGCACGGCTCCAGCCGCGAACAGAGTTATGTAACAGCCACAGGGCGCTTCCCCCTGCAGAGTCTATGTCTGCCTGCATCTGAGCCTAGACAGCCTCCGGTACCTGTCCCAGAATGCATCTGGGCTTGTGTGTTGCGCAAGGAATGCGTGTGGTGGCTCGAAGGCTTTCTGATAGAGCCAGAGCGCTGTCGGCATCTTAAAGACCGAAGCGTGACAGAAGAGCAATCACTGCTCATTCCACGGCAGAGTGCAATAACAAGGTTAAAAAGATGAACGCACTCTGTCAGACGCACTGACAGAAACTCTCATCTCCCTTTTTACAAATGCAGCTGTTAATCTGCATTTAAATCCTAAATAATTCATGTTTACATAAAACTCCCGCTGCAGGCTCAAGCAAACAGCGCCGGTGCACACATTATACGTGAAAAGTGTGTGAAATCAGCTTACAGGATTCATATAGCAGTGCTATAACCGTTTCATTTTAGGAGGGCCTCACTACAGGTTGAGGGGGCCAGCTAGCAAGCAGTACATCCCAGAGACATCGTTACAGCAAGGATGATGACCACCAACTCATCTACTTCATTGTTGAAGTTACTAATTCAAATTTTTTGTTTCACCTTAAATGGTGTAGCAGTTAACTCGAATAAGAAGACAGCTTCAGCCTCATATAACACGGTGGGTAATGGCTGATCGAACAGAAGCCCACCTTTCACAGCACTAGGCACAGATGTTGTTTAGAGCAAACAGCTGAAGATTGTGATCTCTCTTTTTCAAAGCACTACAAGCACTTTTTGTTTTCTGTACGGTAAACTACTACTAGCTAGCTATGTAAAAAGCCTACAGCAGCAGTTCTCAAAATAGTCTAAGGCCCATTTTATGGACAATAAACCTCTCCCTTGGCCACATAATTAACAAGAACTCCTAACAGATTCTTTTGCAAGTTGTCGCTGACCAGCACATAGAGATTGCAAACCTATTACACATCATGCCTATGTCTGTAAGGTAAGCTAAACTTTAGGTTTAGGTTGCAGTATATAAGATTTATTTTAATTTTATCTTAACAGCTTCCATCACTCAAACCACCTCTTTATTAGGCATGAAAACATCCCTTTCTAATGCCCAGGGCTAACAGATTTCCCTGGTTTCATTAAATTTGCCTACGTTAATATTTTGTCAGTCCTCAAACGTTTGTCTGCACTAAACATCTTTTAAAGCAACTTTATTTTTGAATAAAAAATGTCTAATTTACTCCTCTTTTTGCTTCTAAAGTAGAGACTTGTCTCTCACATTAGAGGTGAGTGCTACTTATTAATACGCATACACAAAACCCAAAAGAAAAGAAAAGAGGGGCTGCAAACATACCAATATCTCTCTGCCTCTTCTCTGCTGAGGACAAATTAAAGACGTCATTCTGGGTCCCTGTGTCGGGCTTGTAATACGTCTCGATGTCAATTGAGAACTTCTCCACAAAAGGACAGGTGTAGCTAAAGGACAGGCAAAGGAAGTGTTAACACCTTACTTACAAATCAGCAGCTACATTAACACAACAGGCAAAGCATAGCAAGGAAGAATAACCGAGAGTGATTTAGCAAAAATTACGAATGTGGGATTGTGTTTACTCTTCTTTTAAGACAGACATACTCCATAGCAGGCATGAATCCTTTATCTGTTTGTTACTGCACTGGGTTGCACTGAAGAAGCTGTGGTGTAGCCCTACAAGTCTGTTTTGTCCCAAGTGACTACCAGTCTAGTCAATAAAACACCCTATATTAGCTACAAAGCACCAAAACTTTTTCAGCATCAGAAAAGCACCCTGGTCATTTTTCGAAGTCTAAAAGACTACAGTGAGCCTGACTGCAGCGTGAAATCATTAATCATGTGGACGTCTCTCTCACCGTGTGCGAGTGTAAGGATAGGCATTCCAGGACTCTTCCTCCACCCGCAGAGCTGCTTTGGGCAGGATGGAGCGGAACCAGCTGGGGATGTGCTGGCCGATGTGATAAACTTTGTGTGTGTACTGGCCCGAGCCACCGGGCCCGTCCGTATAGGGCCGGTTCTCCAGGATCTCCACGCCGCTGCCCTCACCCTCACTCTCCTCACGGCTCTTTTTCTGCAGGGACAAACAGACAGAAGACTGACTTTCTTGTTCAATTATTTTAAAGCAACAGTTTGCAAGGAAATCTAATTTACACAATTGTTTTCAAAGCCAAGGCATGTTTGATGTCTAAAGTTTCCATGTACAGTCCTGCACTTGAGCTACAAGGCTAATGCGGCTAACAAGGAATGAAAACTTATAACTCACCAAGTAGCATCAAGGATCTAGTGAAGGGTAACCACCGTTTATGAAAGTTTTTTAAATTTGAAATGACGTTTACTAACTTATTTTTGGAATTTAGTTTTACTCTCTTACTTATTGGGATTTCTTTTAAAAATCTACATGATCTATAACGTTTTCATGAAACAAGGGTGCTGTTCCAAACATTCTCACAGTCCAGCTTTACCTCCGCCCACTCCATGAAATGGGAAAGTAGTGAACATAGTACACATCTTCTACAGAGAACAAACATCTGCACATTGTAATGCACACTTATTGTGTCTTTGCTGAATTTAACATACTGGAATAAAAGTAAAATGTAAAATATGGTCCATTTAATGTTTCATTTGTTTTCCTATATCGTTGAAATTATATAATAAATAAATAGGAATTGCCACAAAAAATTGCAGAACAATGTCATATTTAAGCGTTTTCTTTGTAAAGTGTTTGTTAATTTCTTTTCACTTTAACAAAACGCCATTTGACTGACTGTTCAAACTTTTGAATACGACTGTATGCTATAGCCTTATGCTATAAATTTTACAAACTCCCCCAAAAGAAACCGTGCCAAATCCTCCTAATGAGTGCAGCCTTATATACTGGATGTGCGAGTCTATTCTTTTCCATTTCCGAGCATCATGTCACTACAACTATGATGCTGTGATATTTTTCATGAAAACACAGTTTTACTGCAATGTTTAACTTTGCAATTTCCAGGATTAGGGGTTCTAAAAGCCTGAAACATTTCCTCCATATTTCTAAAAAGAATCAGCAGACAATGAACAAACCTATCTAAGACTGACAATCCAATAACATATCAACTAGGGGTGGGGATCTCTAGGCACCTCATGATTCGATTCGATTACGATTCAGAGGGCTGCGATGCGATTATAAAATGATTATCGATGCATCTTTTTATTCTATACAGGATTTCTATTTTCTTACCGTCTGAGGGTAGTTTTAAAGCAAAGTATTTATAATGATCCATAATGCATTTACGTCCAATATCTTTTATTAATAAAACAAATGGAAGTGATGTGGCAAGTGAACTGGAAGGCTCTCATTAACTGGGTCTTGGGGGGCGAAAGACTGCAGGTCACGTAGCAACAAGGTTTCGCCGAGCTAGTAGCGAATGAAAAAGGAAAAGAGAAAGACAGACGAACATTTGGAGATGAACGGACGTTTTCGCATTTATAAGCAGCACAGTTGGTTTCCTCGTACGTTAAATTTGCAAGCAGAGACTGTCAAACACTAACTAAAAAGTTAAAAGCGAAGATGAAGTCGCTTCTCTTTCGAATTTTGCCGTTCCACCTTAAATGGTGCCGCTTTTACATTCGGCGCCTCAGTCAGAATTTAAGGTGGAACGGGAAAGTTCATCAAGAAGCTGGCGAGTGAGAAGCAGCTGGCGGAGTTGGAAGAAAAGCGGCTATAGCTGAAGCTTAAAGCAGAACAGAGTAAGTCCGCGTTTTCGTTTATATTGTTTAGTCTATACTAGGACATTAACACATACTGGACATTAAATGTTGTGGCCCCCAAGGTGGTTTGATTTTTTTGAAAGGACAAAATGGCTCTTCTTAACATTTGTGTTGTGACTCCTGATCTAACCTGGCTTTTAATGCAGGGGGAGCCGGTCGGATTTCTCACTCATCCAGTTGTGTTTTTGTTATGTGCCGCCACCGACTGTCCGGGCGCTGCACTTACCCACTTCCAAGTTCCGCCCTTTGCGTTCCGTCAACATTACGTTATAAATTAAATATTTAGAAAATCGATTTTTGACATTTGTGAATCGATTCAGAATTGTCCACGTCCGCATCGCGATGCATCTAAGAATCGATTTTTTCCCGCATCCCTAATATCAACTAATCTTCATTTTGGCTGATGCCCACCCAAATATATAGCTAGATAATATTGGTTTAATAAAATGTTACACAAAATAAATTTTACTGCTTATAAAAAAAATGAGCTAAAAATGTATGCTTGATACATTTATGCAGTTGTCCATCATACAGCAGTTACGTTATTGGGTGCCCACTGGAGTTTAGGGATTAAATTTCAGTGGGCGCCCAATCACATAACTGCGGATAACCATCATACTGCAGCCTACATAGTCACACACTCGCCTCAAACCATGCTGAGCGGTTCAGTAATCTCAAACAGACATGCTTATGTGGTTTTTGACACAAAAATAGCAGCCACCTTGAAGCCTGACCTGTGTTTGTACTTTATACCTATTTGCTAGATTATCCACACAGCTAATTTGCTTCAAAATCATATGTACAACGTGTAACAGTGATAATACTTGGAGAGCAAAACGGCAGTCATAACAAATCAAGTTTGAAAAAACAGCACTGAACAATGTGTTGGTTATTAATCTCTAAATGCAATATTGGCCTTTGCAACACTGACCTCAAAAAGGTTAAAGTCCCTTCTCTTGAATAATAAGGACCTTTGCACAACCTAACAAACAGATATTGTCAAAATCATGAAGCACACCACATCATATCAGTCATAAGGTACACTCCAAGTGCAACACGATGTTTTATCTTTTTTCTGACAGGCCCAGCTCGCTGTCAAAATTACACAATGTTACAGCATGCCAGTGCAACAGCGCCATCGTGCACACAGCCCTGTTGCAGCAAAGCTATTTCCAACCAAGTTGGTCTAGCCATTTCCCATAGAGATGGCCACAGCCTTAGACACGTCATGAATGTTGCCACAGGCCCCTGTAATTGCTTTTCATATACTGATCCAATAGAGCAGAGGTTTCTGGTCATTTGCCGCAGCTCAGTGATGCTGCAGCGGTCAATCGCCTTTGTGCTTCGATCGCCACACCCGCCTCTCGCCTCCTACACGGCCGCTGGCAGTGAAATGACAGGCTGAGCCGAGCACATATGCCGGCAGATGCAATGTTAAAATAAAGTGTGGCAAAGAGCTTAGCAGGCCTCCGCCATCTGCTCCGCCTGAAAGAAAGCCCACTGTGCCACGGAGAATGCCAGCGGCCTTCTGGTTGAAACTGACTGTAGAGCCTGGCACCCAAAATACCATCACACCATACAATACTGCAGTTTTGAGCAAAGAATAAAGTGACTGAGTTTACAGATGGCTGGAGGCCTTGTTTTTTTTTTTTGTTTTGGGGGACAAAGCAGCAAAATATGTAAGGTACATCCACTTCAGATTAACACACAATGTCTTTTGACTTTGTACGCTAAATACGAACAAAAATATGTATTTATTAGCATAAACAAAGACAGATTTCAAAAAACAAAACTGGTAGGAAAAAAGTCAGTGCAAAGCCAATGTTAGCAAGATTTTGCAGCATTGTGGTTAGATTTTGGTCCATTTCTCTTGGCAAATGGTCTTCTAATCCTCAAGGTTTCCAGGGTCCCTCTGTTGGACTCACAATTCCAAAATCTGTACATTTTCAAATGGCATTCAAGTCAGGAGATTGGCTAGGCAATGCAAGCACCATCACCTTTTTTACCAAACAAATCTTCAGTTATTTTGGGGTGTTTGGGGGCGTTGTCTTGTTGAAAAATCTTCTCATCCGATTTAGTATCTTGGCTGAAGAGATTAAATTCTCCTATAATGTCTCCCAGTACACTGCCCCATTTACGTTTCCTTTAATGTCATATAACACCCCAGTATTGTTTACAGAGAAGCAGCCCCATATCATAACGCTACCACCTCTGTACTTCACTGTAAACATGGTGTCCGTGAGATCATACACACAAACCTTCTTTCTCCAAACATGACGAGCTGAATTACTGCCAGAGAGTTCTATTTTTGAGTACATTGTTCCAAAACAGTTCTAGTTTGTCTAAATGCTCCTTCGTTAATTTTTTCCCCCAAACTCAACTTGTTAAACTCAACGAATAACTGGAAATTGTACACTGAAATTTGAAGAAAGATTACATATTTATTTATTTCCGGTACAGAAGGTGCTGACACTTTCATTTCGAAAACCAACAAAACATGTTTTCTGACTGGGGTATTCAAACTTTTGCATAGGATAGTATATAGATATTTTAAAATTTCTGTTTAGCTATATTATTCTATCTATTCATATACTGCTATAATTGGCTTTAGATAAGAGTCTCTGTTAAGTAACGTAACATATTATTTAGTGTTAATGTTACCAAACTGCAGAAGTAATTTAGTAAAATTTAAAAAAACAATTTAAAATACTCTAATTAATAGTTTAGATATCAGTCTCAGCCACAATAATTTTTGTTTTTGTATTTGGCTATTTTTTTCCAAAGAGTGAAATTTCCCATTGTGGGACTAATAAGGGCCAGGGTTAGGGTTAGTAATAATATAATAATAATAATAATAATAATAATAATAAAGTGTCATGATATAATAATCGCCATATTGACCACCCCTACTGGGGGACTGGTGTCTACATTATTAAATTATCTGGGTTCTGCCAACACTGAACATAATTCAGAACAAATCCATGCTAAATCCATAGGCCTTTCAACCAGGAAAGCATTTGTAAGGTCAGACACTGAGGTTGGACAAGAGGGCCTGGCTTTCAATCTCTGTTCTAGTTCATCCCAAAAGCATTCAGTGGGGTTAAGGTCAGGACTCTGTGCAGGCCAGTCAAGTTCTTCCACACCAAACTCACCCAACCATGTCTTTCTGGACCTTGCTTCGTGGACTTGGGGCTCAGTAATGCTGGACTAGAAAAGGGCCTTCCCCAAACTGTTCCCACAAACTTCAATGGAACTGAGGGGCCTAAGCCAACCCCTGAAAAACAACACCCATAGCATTATCCCTCCATCAAACTTTACAGC